TGTGTATTATATTGAACTTTGTCATTCATTTAGCAATGCCACCACAACCCTCGTATGCACAACAAATAATGTGTAGTGATTGGCAGGGACCAATTTATCCTGTTCCGACAGATGCTCATATACAGCCATTTATGCCTGCTATGACTTATTCTCATCCTGGATATAATCTTGGAAATGAAATTCATGATGTTAGTTGTAACAGGGAAACTAATAGAAGGAACAATCGAGGAAGAGGAATAAGAAGAGATAATTTCAATCGTGGAATAAATCCTACAAATGAAATGCAATCAGGATATATGGGAGAGCAGGGCCAATTCCATCCACCATTATCTTTTGTTGTTATGTATCCAGATCAAACACAACAGCAACAATTCTCTGGTCATGTTCATTATCCTCCACTAGCTATATATCAGCCAAATATTCATACACATACAAATACACATCCTCATACGCAACCTGCTTATGGATATCCTCCATATCATCATCCTTCAGGAAATATAAGATGTGTTCGACAAGCACCACCTATGCTTTCTCAACCTACCCAAGAATGTACTAAAGTACAAGCTACAAAGTCTCATGAGAAACGAGTACAGAATCTTTACACACCAGTTAAGCAACCTTTTCATCAAGTAACTGAAGAGGATAATTCTTCACAGACCAATATAGTCACTACAGTTATAACTGTAAATAACAGTAAGGTAGAACAATGTACCGATAATGTAGATGAAAATACTGCCAATAGGAAAAATTCAAACACAAATGGGAAAGTACCACCAGTTAATGTTAAAATAGAGCATAACATTGTATCTACTGTAAATGAAAAATGCAATGGAGCAGAAAAGAATGATGTACCATGCGTGAATATTAATAGCAGTATTGAAGTGAAACAAAATGGAGAAACTGATAAAGAATATAAGAATGAAACTGTTTCTAGTATTAAAACTACTGTTGTTAAAACATTATCAAAACCAATTTGTAAAAGTGAAAATGAAGCACATAAGGAAGATATTTCTAGGAAAAATGGGCAAGATGAAATTATTATTAAAACCCCAAGCAACTCTTCTAATGCAGCAAATACTCCAATAATTGTACCTGCTACACCATCCCCAGCTTCATCTAGCATATCTTGGGCTAGTATTTTAAAAAAAGGAAGTGCAGAAGCACAACAAAATCTGTCAAATTACAAACCAACAGCGCGTATTAATCCTCTGTCAATCACAGAGAATAATATAACATCACAAGTTTCAACGGAGAAAGATCAACCTAGCAGTACAATACTATTTACAAATGAAAATATTTCATCTAATATACGAAATGAAAGTAAAAATTCTCAAGCAGAATCATTACAGAATCATTATAATGATCCTATTGCCTTTCGTATGGGTGGTAAATATTGCTCAAATTTATTTATTTTAAATATTTTCTGATCTAAATACATCTAATATATCTTTAATTTCTTCTTCTAGAATTCTTATTAAGTTATCAGATGGATAAGCAAACTGTGAGTTTATTACCTAGAGGATTAACAAACCGTAGTAATTATTGTTATATTAATAGTATATTACAAGCTTTGCTTGCTTGTCCACCTTTTTACAATCTTTTAATGGCACTACCACATTCTAAAAGTTCCAATAAAATGTCTTCCACTCCACTTATTGATAATATGTAAGTGAAAATGAAATTTATTAGGATATCTAATGTAAATGTAATATTTCTGTACATTAAATTTAGCGCATATTATGTCATTTCGATAATGTTTCCTAAAATGTTTAATTATTTTTTATGCAGGATCAAATTTGTACATGAGTTTACACCTTTATCAGATGGTGCTCGACTAGCCAGGAAAGATCGAGCAAATAAACGAGGGGAAGATTCAATAGTAGATATACAAAGTGGAGTGGCCTTTGAACCATTTTACGTATATACAATGTTAAAAAATACGTCAGCTGCGGGCGTATTTTCTGTGGAAGGGCGGCAAGAAGACGCAGAAGAATTTCTCTCGTGCCTTCTGAATGGTATCAATGACGAAATGCTTGAAGTATGTATGATCTTAATTAACATTCGTCTTAATGTGAATTTTGATAGCATAATATGGATAATATTATTTCTTTATTCCAGCTTATAAAACTAGTAAATAACGATCAAAACGTAACAAATAATATTGAAAATAATATAAGTTATAACAATGGAGAAGAAGAATGGAAGGTAAAATACAACATACTTCAACTAAATAATTTAACAATTAATTATCGAAGAAAGGTATTAATACCAAGATTTGGTTTGTAGGTTATGGGTCCAAAGAATAAAGGATCTATTACACGGTGTACCGAATTTGGAAGAACACCATTATCCGATATATTTCGTGGGCAATTGAGATCTAGAGTATCACGAGCAGGAGAACAGCCGACAGACAATGTTCAACCCTTCTTTACGTTACAACTTGATATTGAAGTACTAATACTCATAAAGAAATCCAATATAATATTGCAATACAATAATATATTAATACAATGTTTTACTTTTAGAAAGCAGAATCCGTGAAAGGTGCTCTCGAAATTCTTGTTGGGAAAGATCAGTTGGAAGGGATGACATGCAGCAAAACAAAACAACAGATAGAAGCTTGGAAGCAAGTTACTTTAGAAGAATTACCTGTCATTCTTATATTACATCTAAAATGGTTTGACTACAAACTCGATGGTTGCTCAAAAATTGTGAAAAGTGTGGAATTTCCAATTGATTTAAAGTTGGATAGCAGTTAGTAGACAATTTATTAATTCTTTTCATTAAATTTATAAAATTCAAATCAATTAAATTATCAAATTCATCTGTTACAGAATTCCTCTCGCCAAATGCTATAAAGAAACTAAATCCTAAGCAAAAGCATTATAAACTGTTTGCTGTTACTTACCATGATGGCAAAGAGGCAACAAAAGGTCATTATGTTACAGATGCTTTCCACGTGGGATATGGTGGATGGGTCAGGTATGATGATAGTTCATTAAAAGGTGTTTCTGAAAGTAATGTATTAAAACCTACACCTCCAAGAGTTCCATATTTATTATATTATCGACGATGTGACACTATTGGGAATAACCAGTCAAATAGTGGTAAAGCGCGTTAAAGCAAAAAGCATTAATTATGAATATAAATAAATCTATATTCTGAGCCTAAAGAGGCAACTTGAAAGAATAGATTTTACAGGTTTGTGGTTCTTGTTGATATTTGTATCTAAGTACAGAGAATGTTTATTAACCAATATCATAAAAAAATAGAAAAGTATTTCTTTTCAATATGCTGTACTTCCATGAAACATTTGTACTAAGAATGTTGTTACAAGTTTTATGCATAGTTTTCTTGGTACGCGAAATAAATAATAGTTGAAGTTGAAGTTAAAGAAGAGTTTTGATTTTGGCATTCATAGTTCTATTGAAGTTAATAAGCGCTTACACATTACATTTTATCAAAATATTAAATGTCATGATCTCTTGTACATATCTTTCATACTCTGATTATGAATATACAATGTATAAGAAAAGGATATACATAATAATCTTGTAGAAAAGAAGGCAAAAATAGAGAAAGGTTTTTCTACTTTAATGACAAAATTTCTATGAAATGCAAATTTTATATATGTCTGAAGAAAGATACATCTTATGCCTTAAGTTATTTTTGTATATAACCTTCCTGCGCCCTTATAATATTCCAACCTGCCAATTATTTTTAGCATATATTAGTTTGATAGCTATTCTATAATTTAAAAAAAAAATAATTAAATAACTATTCAAAATACATATGTATTTCGTGATAATACTTCTTTATGCCATATTATTAAAATAAATATTTGGAAAAAGTAAAAAATAGAGATTTTGAACAAAACAAAATAATTGGTAAGATGGAATACTAACGTTATCAGTGAAGAAGATTGTATAAACATGAAATTTGTGTACAAAACTACCTTGTATGTGTCAAACTTGTGTCTTTAATTACAGTTCTTTAAAAAAAAAAAAAAAAAAACAAAACAAAACAAAAAAAAAGAAATACAAATATATTCATGTATTGCCATTTTATACATGTTAATACATGTAACAGAATACATTTTTTATTTTTTGTAATAAGTTTAGTGAATGAATTAATTTAATGACTACAAATTTGGTTGTATTCGTATCGTTATTATAAAAATACTCTAACAATTTCAAGATACTTATCAGTGAAATATGTTAAAAGTATAAAAATTACTGTATACTTAATTGATTTTATATAGGTAATGTGTTAAATGTTTTGTTTTGCTTTGGGCTAGTGTGTGTACGGTTTTACTCTCCTGTTTCACATCATTCTTCGCAAGTCTTTTTTAATTCTTTCTAGTTTATAAATATATTGATATTCATATATGAATATAATCTGTTGATAAAGCAACAAAATTCCCATTGCAAAACATCTTATTTAAATTCTATTTCTCACATAATGTAGATAAGAAATACTTTTAGTAAAATAATACTTCCTACGAAGATGTAAAAATATATATATATATATATATTTATATTTATATATATATATATATTAAAATGTATATTTAAGATTTATAAAAATTAATAAAAATATGTATATATGTTATCAAAACTTGATTATCATTTACTAAAAGATATTTTTTATTTCAAATATTGACACTTGATTACACATATTATAATTACTTTTTTTTATCATAGCACTGTGACATTTAAAATTCGTGAAAAAATTACAACCATATAATATATTTTAATAAATAAAGAGTACAAAAGATTGTTTAATACTTATTAATTAATAAACTTACTATTAATTACTTATTTCTAATAGTTCTCAGTTCTCATATAATATTTCAGTTATATATAATATTTGGTTGTATATAATAACAGATCTTTTCATTCTAGTTATATAATAACAAATATTTATTCTAATTATTTATATTCTATCTTTATTCTAATTATAAATAAGACCCTTAATATTTAACAGTTTTGTTGCATCTCATAATATATCATGTAGCTTTAAATCCTACAGAATATGCAATAGCTACGAACAATATCATACAGATATAAAAAATATATTGAGGAAATGATATATGCTAAAAATGTGGGAGACAAACTTTACCAGCAAATAATTCTGAAATTACTGTTATCCACAAAGCTAAAACAAAAAGTATATAAGAAATGCCAACTTGATGTGAATTTGGTAACTGATATGGTTGTCCACCAATCTCATCAATGTGAAAACCCATTGGAAATATAACAGCTGCTAAGCAAAACAGCACCACTAAAATAAAATCTTATATTTTTTATGTAAAAAATTCATTTTTAAAAGGTAATTAACATTATTAATTGCACTTACTAGCTGTAAATCCTACCCATCTTGCATAGGAAATAACATTACGATCCCAATGAGAAGTAGCTAATAATATTATAGTGGCTGTTATTAAAATGCAACCAACAAAAATACAAATAAGAGCCATAAACCATTCTGGTTCCAAATTTGAACTGTAACAAACTGGAGGTCTATTATATAAAGTCATACATGACCACATTAGTCCTAGTCTTGTATCTCCTAAAAAAATTTTAGTTTGTGAAAAGAACTTATACTTAAATACATATATATTACATTATATAAGTAATAAAATTTATTACATTATACCATTAAAACCATGTAATTACTAAGAAATAAATAAAAGAAAAATATAATTTCTAATCACTCACCACCAACATCAGTAATAATCCAATCAGGCATAGCCAGACTGACAATTGCAAATATATCGGCAGCAAAAAATAATGTTCCCGAAATAATTGTTAACTTATCCATTTTGTATTAATAATAATTAAATAATTTTACTTTAAGTTACTAAAAATAGTTAGTATCATTGATGTCAAAACGTTATTTTCTAATAATTGGGACAAAAGTAATTTTATTTCGAGGTTTGTTTTACTATGCTATTGATGTCACTTCGTTCGGAAGTACACAGTTTTCTAACCTAAACACTTGTGACATGTAATACACACTTAATAGTACATATACATATGTACCTATGTGTATGTATGTGTGTGTATATATATATATAAAAGTAAGTACATATCTTATATTATTAAAATAATATAAAAGAGGTACAAAAAAAATACGAACAGTGAATTAATGTATATTTATTAAATAACAAAATTAATATAATTAATATATATTATTTTTACACAAGTAAAAACACGATTTTTTGCAAAAAATAAAATACATAATCATGTACCCATTTTTATTACATAATTTATTAAAATTTTCCTATACAACATTGTGTCTCATGAAATTAAAATATTCCAAATTTAACTATAAAATACCTTAATTTCCAGTTAAAGTGTATTCGAATATATAGAATAATTTCGACGTTTAAATTTCTTACAATTTGGTTCAATCTGTATGAAATGATTATCACCTGCAAAATAAATAATGTGTCTTACTACATAAAGAATGGTGAAGACATTAGATAGTAATACATCACATACATAATTAGATAGTAATACATCACTCACCATCACCTGTACAATCATGATTTACTGCTGATGATAAATTGTTAAGACTTTCATTTGTTGTATCCTTACTGCTACTTATTTCTGATTCTTGCTCTTCATTATTGCTTTTTGGAGATAAATTTAATGGCGATGTCGGATTAAATGAGTCACTAGCTAATTTTCCATCAAATGTAGAACTTAAGACATTATCTTCATCAAAGGAAATAGAAATTTCGTGGGAGCTAGATATATGTTTTCATTATTAATGATTCGTTTGATTTCAATTTTTGGCGGAATGTATCTTTCAGGAGATATTTCAAATCGCTAAAGCCGAAAATGAAGATCATTTATCGCGGAAATGAACAGCTTTAAAGATTCATGCTTATTATATTTGACCGACAAAGATCTTAATTATAAAAGTCCGTCTAATCTGTTGCCTTACGACGACCAGAAAATAAATAATAATCCAGACCTAATTCAATACTCACGATTCAAATGTATACAGAGAAATAAATTTTAAAAAAGATCACGTTAAAAACCACGAATTCGTCACACAAAAAAAAGCTGAGCACAATTTTCTATGCTTCACTTTCGCGAAAAACGATCCCCATTTTCGGCTTCAACAACCTTAAAAAGTGTCATTCCAGCCGAATAATTGCAGTCTAGATACTATAGTAAAGCCTTGAGAGTTCTTTTATATTACTTACTTTTGTATTAATAGTAGTAAAACAGATGGATCGTCAATACCCAAAGTATCACAAAATTGGGTTGTTTGACTATTTAGTATCAATTGTGGTGATACCACTGACACATCTGTACAATCAGGATTATATGATTTTACAGTTTGTGTAAAATTCAATGGAATTTCTAAATCACAGTTAAATTTTTTTAAAACCATTGCTTTCTCTTCTACGGTTGGTGTAAATACCCATCTAGTATTACCATATTGACCAGGCATATAGTGAATTCCACTTTTGACACTTAATAAATGATTTGTTAAATATAATATTGTTAACCACTCTAAGTCATAATGTAATTTCAGTGGTAAATCTGAATTATGTTTAATTTCAAGTACTTGAAGAAATTTTCTTTTTGGGAGACATTTATCTAGAGCTAGAAATTTAGTTACTCTTGTTCCTCCTTTTTCATTAACAAGAGCTGCAAATTTACAGTGTAAGTGAGCAGAAAACCAATAGCTTGGATAATGATGTTCCAAAAGTTCCATACTTGGTGGACTACCAAGCACATTATTCTTGATATCATTTCTACAATAAAACAATAATATATTGCAAACACTCATATATTCAAAAATTGATATATTTTACATAAGTGGCTTTTATTATCTTACTTGAAAAAAGGTTTTTCTTTTAATAAAACATTTTCATTTCCATATTTAGTTATGCCTGATGGCCAATCATGTGACAAGAAAATATCAATATTACCAGTAAGCTGTAAATGATACAAATCATAAACAAAATGAATAATAATGAACATAGAACAATAATAAATAACAAAATAAAAAATAATATGATTAACAAAAAAGTTATTCTTATGTTACTTTTATAAAATCTATGTCCAAAATATGAAAAAGTAGGTATTATCAATGTATTACCTGTTTTAATCTAAATATCTCTAAATTTCTGATATGATATACACTTCTTATCGTGTTTTCAGTATATGGTGGTTTTTCATGATGTCCCTGCATCCAATGTTGACTTTTATATATACCTGATAATCCTGCAATTCTAATACCACCTATTGTTATTACACTGGCATATCCTAAATAATAAATATTAGGAGCCACCCAACCACCATACGGTAGTTCTTGAAGATAATTGGAAGCTTCATGATTTCCCCCAATAAATATTGTTAACACAGGAGCAACTTTCTCACCAGAATAATATCTACAAAATTTTTAAGGTTCTTAAGGGCTTCTTAAATAACATGACAGATAAAAAGATAATTCAATTTATCTAACCATTTCACTTTTAATAACATATTGGGTTGGCAACTCACTTATAAAAGGTACGCATGTCTTTATATTTATCAGATATTGCCATACATTTTAAATCACTCAAATTTCTTGTTGCTTGGAAATCTCCACAACAAATAAGTAAATCTATTTTTTTCCCATTAACTTTTTCTATTTCTTGGATAGTCTCGTAAATAATATCCAATTCGCCGTGTGCACAACCTTCTACAGCAATTCTCATCTTTCTTTCTAAATATCCTTCATTCAATTCTTATTATATATTATATATATTTCTTATATATTATGATAGTTCTCAATGTGCTAAATGACACATTCATATATTTCTCATTTAATTATATAATTAAAATTGATAAAAGATTTCAAAGCATTGAAATAAGCAGATAGAGTAATCATGTAATCTAATCTAACCTATGTAGACATTTTTGTATTTCAACATCCATGGTACGATAGTATCATGAAGTTTGTTTAAACATAAAGTACATAAGACATAGAATCGAAATACATACATTGAATGGTTGCTGCTTATACGTAAGAAAATAAGAAAATTAGAACCAATAAATTGAAGATATATAGTTATGTTTAATGCGTAGTGTGGTGCATTTATATCAATTATGAGTTTAATTTTTTCTACTGAAGAAGGATGGATAATATCTCATTTAAAATTTCTTAATAATATTTATACAAACGTAAAAAATAATAACACACCGTGTAAACTAATTTTTGATGAAATTTTATTTGAAATAAATTCTCAATACTTACGACAAAATCAAACAACTCAATCTGAACAACAAGAAGGAATTTCATTACAAAGTAAAAGTAGAAAAAGAAAGCGATCAAAACTTTTGCCAGACGCAGATTTAAAAGAAGTATGTAATAAAAAACAAGGAGTTTAGTAGTTTAATCATTAAACAAAATAGTTATAGTCATTATAATAATCTATTTTGTAGATAAATTATATCAAGAAAACATTTAGCAAAATAATTTCAATTGTAAAAACAGAGGGATTAATTTCTACTAATATATTATCTGATAATAATGAAGCAGCACGGTTGGCATCACAAAAATTTTATCAGGATACATTTTGCAATGAAGAGGAAAATTTTTATGGGTGCAATGATATGGATATAGCTATTACGTCAGAATTAAAGGAGAAGAGATATGTTTTCCCTCAAAAATGCAAATTTTATTGCTATGATGTAAGAGACATTGCAAACAAGCTGGGCCTAAACAACCAATATGATTTTATATTGTTGGATCCTCCTTGGTGGAACAAGTCTATAAGAAGGAAAAAAAACAAATATTCAGAAGCTAGGTGATCTTGTATGGTTCAATATAAGCCATTATAAAAGAAAGCTCTCTGAACAATTTAATGAGAACAAGTACTTTGATAATAGTATAAGTTTTTCTTGTTCTCAATTTTGTGAGCATATGGGTAAATAAGATTTTAGATGCAACTTATCATCATAAAAAGAAACTCATGTTGAATAGTACTGATGATAGATTTTATTTTTGTTATATTAATCAATTGTATTTTTTATAAGTAAAAATATTTTAATTCTTAATAGCAATTTGCTGCAAAAACAATATTTTATATAATGTGCAAATTATGTCTTATATTTTTCTTTGTTAAACAGCTATAAAATGATGTACAATGAAGAGTTGGCTAAGATACCAATTGGCAAATTATTATGTTCAAATGGGCTTGTAGCAATATGGTGTACTAATGCTCCAAGTCATCTACATAGCATCTTTAATGACATATTTCCATCATGGGGAGTTACATACAGAGCAAAATGGTATTGGGTTAAAGTAAGTACATAATGTAGCCAAATTTTACAAATTATTAAAAGTGTCAGTTATATTATAAATTACGCTTCACTCCACTTATATTTTAGATTACTCAAGGAGGAAATACAATATGTAATTTTAATTCTGCTCCTGGTAAGCAACCTTATGAATTACTAGTTCTGGGATCTGTAGTAAATGGAAATGAAATAAACATTCCTAGTGGTAAACTACTAATAAGTGTACCAAGTGCTGTACATTCCCATAAACCACCACTTACAGGTAAAAATTATATGTCAATAACAATTTATGTTGAAAAAATTAATGAAGGTAGATAAAAATATTATTTTAAATTATAGAAGTTATGAGAGAATATCTTCCAAATGAACCAAAGTGTTTAGAAATATTTGCTAGATACTTACTTCCTAAATGGACAAGTTGGGGTCTTGAAGTATTGAAGTTTCAACACTTATCGTTATATACAATGATAGAAGAAACAAAAGAAACTCAAAACAACACTAACACAGCTGTAAATAAATTGATTAATTAGTATTAAATTAGAAAAGAAAAGATATTTCAATACTATTGTTTTCTTTATTGCACTTATTTTATTATCATAAATTAGTCATGCTTTAATAACAATGAAGTAACGGTATTATAAAGTGCCATTTACATGCTCGCTAATACCATTTTTTACTGAATTACGATAACCATGTGGATTCATTGTTTGCCACCTCCAGAAATCCTCACCTATATCAAAAAATACTTAGAAAGAAATCTTATTTAATATGAAAATATAGTGGAAATGTTATTTCACTTACACATCCGTTCGACATTAAATTTAGTCCTCCATTCTAATTCTTTTTCTGCTAAATCTGTATTGGCATACATAGAAACAATATCACCCTCTCTTCTGTCTTTTATAACATATGGCACTGTTGTTCCTGTGACATTCTCAAAAATTTTAATCAATTCAAGTACAGATACACCTTTACCAGTACCTAAATTATAAATTTTTAGCCTCAAATGTCGCTTGTGTAAAGCATTTAAAGCTGCTACATGACCAGCAGCTAAATCCATAACGTGAATATAATCACGTATACCTATAAAATATATATTTTCGAAATTTTTTACTTTAAACAATATATGCCTTTAATGTTGCATAAGAGAAAATAAAATATTTATTTGTACCTGTACCATCTTTTGTAGGGTAATCACCACCAAAAATGATGAGTTCAGGTTTATGTCTTAAAGCTACTTGTGCTATATAAGGCATTAAATTTGTAAATGACTTTGTAGGATCTTCTCCAATCAAACCACTTTGATGAGCACCTACTGGGTTAAAGTATCTTAGAGAAATGATATTCCAATTCTGTTAAATAAAAATCAAAATTTTATATATATTTTGCTCAAAATTTTGATTGCTAATAAAATTTTAAATAGATTAATTTTTCTGATATTTTCGAATTATTTAAAATGCACCTTTTCAGCTCTCGATATATCTTTAAGCATTTCTTCAATAAAGTATTTTGTTCTACCATATACATTTGTAATATTTCCCGTTGGGTGTTCTTCCGTAATTGGAAGGACGTTTGGTTCTCCGTACACGGTACAAGAACTGCTAAACACTAATTGGAAACACCCAGCAGCTTTCATTACCTTGTAAAAAGATTAAGTTTATTCCTTTTTTATGATGTGAAGAACATTACGCACATAAAGACTTACTCAATTACATTTTACCTCTAACAAATTGATGGCACCGATAATATTATTCCGATAATAATGAAGTGGAATTTGCATTGATTCACCAACCGCCTTTATTGCCGCAAAATGAATTACACAATCTATTTTGTGCTAAAATTTAAGATATAACATGATTTTAAAAATATTATAAAAATATTTAAGGTAATTCTTTTCTTAAGTTATATTTTGTACCTTTTTAAAAACTGTTTCAAGTTTGTCACGATCGATGAGATCGCAATTGTAAAATGTAACTTTCTTCCCTGTAATTTGTTCCACTCTTTTAAGAGCTGCGGATTCACCGCTACTTTCAGTAACGCTATTAGCAAAATTATCTATTGCAACCACATCATATCCACTCTCCAAAAGTTCGACAATACAGTGACTTCCTATGTAACCAGCTCCTCCGGTTACGAAAATAGTTCTCCAATCTTTGGCCATGCTGCTATTAAAAAATCATTATAAAAATAATACAGTATATGTTTTCTTAAACATCTTACAATAACTCTATAAAAATTATTATGCTTAAATCTGTAAGTTATTAATTGTGTTAAAAAATTTCAAACTGGTTCAAACTGAACCATTATGCGTAATTATGATCTTTTTCTACAATCACGTAATAATATCTGTATTCAATTTAAGTATTTTCATTTTATATATTTCATAAACTAGATTTATGCAAACGAAAGTGGTAAATATATATATGTACATGTTGATAGTTTGTAATGCTAGGCGAAGTACATACACAACGTTTCGGGCATTCAACTGTATCGAACTGAGTTCAAGGTCATTAAAATATATGATAAATTACTACAATGACACAATTACAATGATATATATATATATAATTAGCATCAAATTGTAAATATTAATTCAATTAACATAAAATTGAAAATAATTAATTTGTTTCATCTGCTTTTATTAAATTGAACATATTTGACTCAGAATAAATATTTCATTTACCATATCTAAAAGATACTTTATAAAATATGAAAAAAAGCAAAAAATTTATTCTAAAAAGAATAAAAAGGTATTAGTTTTGTTAATCACTGGGTAAAGATAGTAAATATTCAGAATTCAACTGTTGAATTTAACGGTACTGTATAGAATCAGACGCTTCCAACACATTACATTAACATTACATTAATTTACACAATAGAAATACGGATAAAGAAAATTCGATTCTGTATTATTATTTTTTACATACATAAATGAAATATAAAAATAAGAAATATCCTTAAAAATATCATTTTCGTATATGAAATTTAAGCATAATGAACACACGAGAAGAACTTCTTTTTTTATATTTAGTTTATAATATTAATAATTACATAAAATGTTTATTCTGCAATGTATTATGTGTACAAAATATATAACATTTTCTTTTACCTTATATTATAGATCAAGATATAAAAATTGTATAAAGTATATGTTTCGAACTAATATTCAAATATAAAAAATAAATACTTTTATCAAATTAAAAACGAGATAAAGGTATATAAAGGTACACTGTAATTTTAAAAATATTAATTATTACCTCAGTAAAGTAAAATTATAAATAATGAATACGTCAAACCAATATAGAAAGATCTGTGGACACGCCGCGTAATCACTGACTCTACCTTGACGACTTGCCTCCTCTTCGGATATAAGAAAGTAGAGTTTAGTATGTTCGTGGAACGCGAGACATCCCCTCTTTTACAATACTATCGTACGAATTATCGTACATATACAGAAATATGCACACTACACAATTCGACCCTCTGAAGTCCTTGCTTTCAGCAACAAGTTCTTCCTTTCACACAGATACTGCTCACCTATTCACCTACCTCCTTTACGAGAATGGGGGGAATGATGGGTCATATACAAGCTACACAGTTACTGCTTACATCATCAGACAATTTTTAACAGATTGATTCATTAAAATATAACGTAATTAGGTAACAATAGTTTTCATCGTGAATATTTCAATGAAATTAAATTTTTGGAAGGGATTACTTAAATAAAAATAACTATAAAATTAAATAAAAAATGTCATTTACAAATTTAATAAATTCCTTAATCATTCATATACATATATGAAATGTAACAATATCCATTTATTGTATTGTTAAAACTTGGATTAACTTATGTAATAACTCCTTTTGTTCAGCATTTAAATAAGTCCACAATTCGCCTTCTAGTTCCAACAATGCTTGATAATCATGTGACTGACATGCTAATACTAATGATTGTAACAATAATAATTCGTCTTCACACATATTAAAATCTGTAATTTATTTTTTATTAGTCAGCTTGTAGTTATTTAAATGATTGAAAAAGGAGGATATTAGAATACTTGCCATTATTTGTACTTTCTTCTACCCATGCATATTTTTCCAACACCTGTGCTAGAGAAGGTGCTAGTCTTTGTGGTGATGGTTGAAGTATAAGTAATAAAAGCACTCTAGTTACCTCACACCTATGTATTAATACAATTACTAAATAATGAATTCATTATTTTGCAAACATTCCAAAATATATTATTTCAAATTGTATCTAATACCTGTGTAATATAACACTATAATTGCCTCTTGCACCAGCATTAATATAACTCTCAACAAATTCAACAAAATCATTTAGAATTTGTAAAGCAGATACATAATCACCTGATCAAATATTTGGTATTTAATTGTTATAGCTGATTATAATTGTTTTAATAAATATTTACCTTGTTTAATATGATATGATACTAATGTATTAATAGCTTTTATAGTTGGAAAAATATCAATAGCTTTACGTAATTGTTGTATACCAGCTGGAGTAGAACCTAAGGCTAATGCTAGCTCTAGTGCTAATCCAGCTGACATGGTATTGAATCCTGGTTGATTATGGCAACGTGCTAAAGCATGACCAAAACAACTTATTGATGCCTAACATAAAAAATTGTAACTTTAATATTTAATACACTTATACTGCTAATTGTTAATTTAAGTTGCAAAACTAATAAACCTGTGTATTTTCCTGTCCTATAGAAGGGCATCCTATATCCTTGTCTTTCTTATCAGCCACAAGAAATTCTCGACCAGCTTTTATTAAATAATTTAATTCGGAAAAGATATTCTCTAGTGTTTCTTGACATCTGGCAGCATCTAATAAACATAAACCTGCGTATTGCCATAACTCCTTTTGTTCACATTCAATTGCTAATGTCCCTAAATAATAATGTAAAATATTAATAAAATTATCATCCTTTTACACATCATAAAATTTCCATGTAACATACCAAATTGATCACTTGCTTCAGCAACATTTGGTTTTCTTAAAAACCGTCTAAAATTAAATTATTAATAATTATAATAATGATTTTATTATAGGAAAGACTAGATCATTCTATAAAAGTAATAATGTGGATAACAAAATACTTACTTCCTAAGTTTGTTAGATATATTATGATACTTTGTTAAAAAGTCTAATGAATCTCCCATTATTTTTCTTTGATTTAAATGTACTGTTTTCCTGATTAACTTTTATTTGTACATTCTTTGTTTATTTATATACTTACTCTAAACAATAAACATCTCTTTTTATACACAATAATTTTTCGATATATGATACTAAATGTAAAATATTATATTAAGTAACTAAATTGCTTCCATTTCATTCAATATTACCTGGTATTACTTAATCATATCTTTATTTTCCGAATTAAATAATATGTAATTAATAATTTTATATGTATTAATTGTAAATCAAATTATATAAAATATTAAATTAATTTTGCTATTATAAATGTACTTGTTTAGTCATCCTATGTGTACATATTTTATTAATTGGTTGTAGATGTAGTTTGTAGTGAACCTTGGTTTAGATGGTGACGATCGACGGTGTAGTAGATACATACTTGCATATAGTGAACCATTAGTAGCGCCAATGCGTGACTATATGTTACGTACGCATTTATGTATTTTTATTATACAAAAAAGTTAATATTGTTTGATAAGTACCTTTCACATAAACTTAATTTTGGTATTATGACAATATTTATAATTAATTACAATTCAAATTAAATTTTGCGTTACTTAGAAATGTATAACAAGACGAACTTAGTAATTGTCAACAACGTTTACCGTAATTACATTATAAAGTACAATAAAATTGATAGAATATAATTATAATTAACAGTTTCTAAACAATCAAATAGTATTTGGTATTTAAGATTTAATTACGTTTAAGATACATGTCATTAAAGAAATGTTTAATGTTTCAGGGGCATAAAGATATTAAATTATATATCTGTTCAACATTGATACTGTAATGTAAACAAACGTTATCAGACATAGCTATATATATTAAGAAGTTTAGAGAGTGTCGACAAGAATGTGCAAAATTACATTTCCAAGTAATAAAGTGTGCTATACAGCAATATCATAGTTGAAGTTTTTGTATGCGTAGAGTTAATAACTCACATTTTCTTTTAAAAAACGTTAACAAGACTAAAGGTTTCTCTAAAGGATGCATGGAATTATTGAACTAATTTTGAACAGTGCTTTATTATGGATATCTTTACAAGTTACTTGGAGTATCTTGATAAATGTTTTTTATAACTTTTGCATACCATGGATTGTTTGGGGTTCTCTCATTATCGCAGTTGGACTAAAAATAGCCAGGATTCCACCACCAAATTTAAACATTGTGCAAGAAGTGCTTGGTGTAAATCCTCTTTCATTGAAAAAAGATAATACCATGTCCAAAGATCATGGTAATGGAGAACAATATTGCATGCGAGTGGTGGCTCATCGTGGTGGAGGATATGATTTTCCTGAGAACAGCTTAACAGCCTTTCGTAATGTAAAATCTTATATATAATAATGGTTTTTGTTTTTCATTAGACAATTGTTCCAGTAAAAGATAACAAATTCATTTGTTTTTTATTAACTACTTTGAAATATTAGATACCTTATAACAAAAACAATTTTATATACTATTTTATGATGTAAACATGAATACTAATATAGTAGTTACTAACAAAAAATTTATTACTTTAGTGAAAACAATACATTTTTTAGTTTATCTTTTATAAATTAAATTATATATAAGACATTGATCAGTTGTAAAATATTTTATAGAGCAAAGAAAGAGGGTGTACTGCTGTTGAACTTGATTTATGTCTTACAAAAGATAATGTGCCCATAATATTTCATGATTTAACAATTGATAGAGTTACTGGAAAAACTGGTAATGTTAAGGATATGACTTGGGATCAATTAAAACAATTAGATATTGCTCATAATCATCCACTTAAGTAAATAAAACATTATATATTCTTCTATTACAAAAATGTTATTAAAATTATATTTAAATGCAATTTCTTTTTATGTATTACAGAGATAAATTTATTGAAGGTGAAAAAATTCCATTACTTTGTGAGGCTATAGAAACATGTTTATCAAACGAACAAAGAATAATTATTGATATAAAAGAATCAAGAATGGAGATTGTGCAAGTAATTTTAGATACATATAAAAAGTATCCAAAGTTGTATCAAAGAGCAATTGTATCCAGTTTTAATCCTATTATTGTATATATGGTAAAAACATATGTTAAAAAGAATAATAATATTAAAATGACTGTTATTGATCATGGGTATGTCAAATAATAACTTTGTTATTACAGATTAGAAGAAAGGAGCCTCGAATTGTAGCAGGTCTTGCATGGAGACCACATTATTTTTCAAGAGTGTCATATTCAGGTTCAGATGGTCCAGGTCCAACAAAATATAACAATCCATTTAAACATATAGCAGTTTGCTTATTCGACCATATTTATGCATGGATGTTCCACTGTTTTATATATTATATCGTGGGTGTATCTACTCTATTATTGCATAAAGATGTACTGAATCAGTATGTATTTAGATATTCAGTTCCAAACATCATATTAAGTAATTATGTGTAGTTATTGTAGAAAACACAATATTCTACTCATATTCATATATATATATATATACATATATATCTATTTTAGGTATATTATAAGAAAATGGTATAATCGTGATATTCGTATAATGGCATGGACGGTGAACCTACCATCAGAGAAATTACATTTTTCCCGGCTATTTAAAGTTACATATTTGACAGATACATTGTTAGGTGAAAAAGATATGTAATAATATATCATATATTCTATATGTCCTAAATGAGCATATTTTATACTACTGACATATTATCACTACATTAAATAATAATCTAGTCTATTCATCAAAATGATGAATCTTATTTATATCTTTTTTGTAAGAAAATTAATGTTTATTTTGTTAAGTAAATTAGGAAAAAGAAAAAAATAAACGAAATTTTCTGAGAAAAGTTTTTATTAGTCAACATACTACTCTTTTGACATATATATTTATTTTGTATGCTTGTCTCACACTTTTAAAATTTACATTTAAAGTAGACTTAAAAAGATGTATATCATAATATTTAAAAACTGAGGATTCACACATTTTTAATTTTTGTAAAAAGTTACTTTAATGTTGCCGTAATTGTACATTATTTTTACATATTACATTTACACTACATATTTTATTATAATTAACCACCTTATAATTACTTAATAATTATGGACGGAAATATATATTGTGTAATTATTTACGATGAAATTTCGGAGAATAATAATTGTAATTAATAAATTTACTACACAATAGTAGTAAGCTTACTTTTGCGGGATTCCATACCTTGAATAAGTCCCGTTAATAAATCTTCCATTTCTGTGGTAGCACGTTTCAATTTGCAATTGTCACTAGCAACATAGGAATCTAAAGCAAACATTTATGTAAAAATATTGATATAAAGTAGTATGTATTATTTATAGTATAGTAATTTACCGTCAAGTAAACGATCGTCTGTAACCATATTCTGTAATCTATCTAGTATGTCATTTAGATCGCCTTGAATATTTTGCAAACTACTATGTTGTGAATGTTTATCAGGTCTTTGTAAAGATGATGGTGTATTATCTCTGTGAATACCTATAAGAGAATCAGATATTGGTAAAGACGATTCATTTTCAGTGTTAGTTGTCATAGTCTTCATTGGATATTTTTCTTCTTTACTATCTGAATTGTTAGAACCCAACCATTGAGAAAAACCACTATCGGATGGGTTCATTTCTAATTTTTTTGTACCTAATAATGAGAAATTAAATTAAATATACATAAATAAATAAAGTTGCAAATCATTTAGTGTTCTATAAGATATTTCACTTTTCGAAATATGATAAAACAATAATACAACATACCTCCGATCCATGTACTTAATTCTATTTGAGTAGGTTCCAATACATTACTGAATCCTAAGCTTGTAGATGCTTCTACAGAATCAATAATAACATCGTGATTTTGTTTATTGATATAATCTCCAGTTGGATTAAAATCATTTGGTTGTAATATATCTGTATCATTCACATTTGAAATTTGTTCTACATTTTCTTGTCGAATAATTGGACTCAATTCAAAATTTATAGGCAAAGGTGTTAATCTTGATGGAAGAGGCGGAACCATTGGTGTACTTTGCATATAATTAATTACTCGAGGCATACAAATTCTATCAGTAAACAAACATTTCTGTAAAAAATTAAAGAAACATTCGTGTTATTTCATTAGATCTCAATAGTAATATCATTTATTAAATGACAATATACTTTTAATAGCTTTAGACGTTGTAATTGCGATTCGATTGTAACTCTATGACGCTGAAGTCTTTCCGCCTTAGTGCCCTGTATATCAAGTAGCTCAATTTGTAATTGTTTATTTTCTTCTTCCAAATGAGTAATTATACTTTGTAGTTCTTTTTGGGGATCATTTAAAACTCGTCTTTTCATTGTACTTCTTACTGATTCACAATCCGTATGTGTTATTTCATTACTATAACAGATATTTAAAAAGAAAGATATGGAATTTATAAAATATATTTATATATAATAATATTGTCTCAGACTACAACCTTAAATGTGGGATTTGATCATCAATATTTAACTCGATGGATCTAGCAGGACATAATCTTAATTTGTTTCTTATTAATTCAATAACTAATTTTGTTAATTCTCGATTAGAAGTCTGAAAAAACATTGTGCATGACATTTTATACGAAGATAATTAAATATATTAACATAATCAGAGATTTGAGACTTTTATAGCCTAATATCATACAATTTTTAAAATAAAGACTTCTGTATATAAGCTGTATTTTTATAAAAGACATGTTTCAACGTTTTACTAAGATTGCAACATCAGTGTATTTGACCTCTGATGAAGCTAGGTGTAATGCTGGCAAAACATTGAAACATATCTTCATATTGAAACATGAAGAAATAACTCATAACAGAAGGCTTGAATTTTATAAATTGTACCTTGGTACAAAATTCACGAACTGGATGCTTCAATTTATGCTTTCCAGATATTTTGTCATATAAGAAACAGTGTTGACATTGATGATATGTTGCACATTTTAGACATGTATAACGTGGTCCCTGGATTGGAGTTGTTTTACAATATGAGCATCTAACATTATGTATGACTGAAATAAAGAACAATATCTATTATGTCCATTTCATTTTCCTAAAATATATCATTAAATATTTTAAAATATAAAATGTGCATACTCTTTTCTGCAGACTTTATGCGATTAAATGTTGTTATCCAAACAAACAAGGGAGGTTCTTGCATAATCCACGTTGCAAACTCTGATTCAGTAACTCCAAGACATCCTTGAGACTATTATAAAATATTATAAGTTATGTACAGCTCAAATGTATTCAAAACATTATTCAATTATACCTTTGAAAAACACTTATCAATATGCGATTGAATATTTTGAGGTCCATATGCTGCACTTTCTCCAAGCATTTCCGTAATTTTACAAATATTCATCAACAATGTATGTAAGCTAGCTTTGGATAAGCATGCATTATGATCAGCTAATTGTTGATATAGATATCCATATTTCTCTTGTAGTTTCCCAGAACTAATTAGTATTAAAGCAACTTTCACAGAAAATACAGAAACAGTCCTAGCACATTGTCTATAATATTTATAATATTTATGGTAGTAAAACATTATTTATTATTTCAATTCTAATTAGCAAATTTAGATAGTAATATATTGATAGTAATATATAGAATAACATACTTGTCATATGTAGTTAAAATATAATTCAATGCCAGTTTTGTTACAAGATCAATATCAAAATTGGTATTATTTTCTTTGCATGCTGCGAAATAAATATCAGAAAGAACATCTTCAATTTCACTTGGGTCTAAATTTACACAATTTTCTGTAATTGAAAGTCTGTGGCGTTCAAAGACTCCAGCAATTAATTCTAGTTGAACATACTGCACTATAAAAGATATATATATCTTTGAATATAATTGAATATAAATATAACAAAAAAATAATTACTCTAGTAGTGTGAAACTAATCTAAATATAATAAGCACTCAATAGGGGAATATATTTATATTAAACTTACTATTAAGTTCTTTATGTAAAATTTGCATCTTTGCTGCAGTTCTATAAGATGTATAACGGATAACATTACATTGCTCTATAGATTGTATAATATTTTGCATCTTTAAATATTTAAAATAGTAACAGATTACCTATAAGAAGAAAAAATAAATTATTATAAAATTTTAGATTTTACTAATACTAAAACTTATATCATAAAACAATTAGTTGATGTTTCATATATCTTTACGATTATTAAAGATTATGTCAATAATTAATGAAAATATGGAATTATTATAGTTTTTTACCACTAGAATAATATTTTTAATGACAACAGTCATACTACGAAATATTTTTATAAACAAGTATGAGTTTATAAAATCTGAAAAAATTATTATATCATTTATGATACTACAAATTTTAAACAAAATTATAATTTATAAATTTTAATATCATAACATATTCAATTACTAAAAGCAGTAAAAGATATAATGATACTTTATTTATATTTTAAAAATTTGATATCTCAGAAACATGAGAACTTTTAATATTTGATTATATTGCATTATAAGTATCTTTATTGCGTTATATTGTTCAATTATTACGATAAATACAGTCATTCTTAAATAAAAAGTTATAATTAATGTCTTACTTCCTTTCATCCCTCGCAACTTTATAATTTAAATAATGGTACATGTAAACAAAATATTCTCACAAATTAATCATGAATAATAAAGACTATAGAGAGCATAGTTTTAAAAATAGCTGATTTAAAGCACCTGGACTAAACCTAACTGAATTTGTGTTAGTAATTTCTTCTGCTACCACTTATATTATTTTAAATGCTCCTTAATATTAGTAACCTATGTTGTGTATGTAACCTATCTTATGTCAAATTGTACAAAAACGTAATCATCGTATTCTATTTGTTACATATTTGCTGTCCTTTAAAATAAAGTAAGTATAAAGAAATAAAATTTTACCATGCATAAATATACTCAAGAGAATGAATTTAGTAACATTTATAAAATCGAGACAAAGTACTTACAGAATATATCATTTGATTATATTCTCTGTAGTAACTTATGTAAAATATCGATCTTAATTTTGTTACAGTTCGGAAATGTGTGAAGGTCAGCCGTTATTTAATTGTCAATTATCCAAAGGTATGCACGAATTGCATATTTCAAACAGTGAAAAAGAAGAAGATAATGAAAACTATAATGATGATTTAGAAAGTAATGATTTCATTTGGGACAGAAATCAAAGTAAAGCTGGTTCAAAAAATATTACCAAAAATATTCAGACACAACGTATTAATGCACAAAATGTTTCCAATAAGATTACAAATTATCAACCATCAGATAAATTATTTCGTCGCTATGCTAATAAAATTAACATTGAAAGATATGAAGGCCCAACTTTACCAGGACATGCAACAAATCTTCTTATGGAAAATGATAAACGCGCAGAAAAAGATAGATTTAGAACCAAAGACAAACACGATCGCGCAACTGTTGAACAAGTTTTAGATCCTCGTACAAGAATGATATTGTTCAAACTTTTAAATCGGGGTATAATTGCTGAAATTAATGGATGTATTTCAACTGGGAAGGAAGCTAATGTTTATCATGCAACATCAAAAACAGGAGTAGAAGTTGCAATAAAAATATATAAAACATCAATTTTGCAATTTAAAGATAGAGACAAATACGTTACAGGAGAATTTCGTTTTCGTCATGGATATTGTCGTCATAATCCGCGAAAGATGGTGCGGACATGGGCAGAGAAAGAAATTAGAAATTTAACTCGTCTTCGCCAGGGAGAAGTAAATGCTCCAAAACCAATTTTACTATGTAGTCATGTTCTATTAATGGGCTTCATAGGTACTAATGGTTGGCCATCACCAAAATTGAAAGATGTTGTTCTCACTGCTTCTAAACCAAGGAAATTATACAGAGAATGTGTTGAAACAATGTGGAGATTATATAATAAATGCAAACTTGTTCATGCTGATTTAAGTGAATATAATATGTTATATCATGATGGATCTATTGTAATAATAGATGTGTCACAAGCAGTTGAGCATGATCATCCTATGGCACTTGAGTTTCTTAGAAAAGATTGTACAAATATCACTGGTAGGTGAGAATGAGAACTTCTTATAATGATATTACTGAGATGTTTTATAAAAATTTTGAAATAAATTAATATTTTTGTAGAATTTTTTAAGAAGAACGATGTAGGTGTGATGCCTGTAAAAACATTATTTGACTTTATAACAGATCCAACAATAACTGAAGAAAATATGGATAAGTATTTAGACGCAATATCAGAACAAATGACACAACAGGAAGAACAAGATGATGATCCTAAACAACAAATAGAAGAACAAGTGTTTAAGCAAGCTTATATTCCTCAAAATCTAAGTCAGGTAATATATTGTAGGAACATAAATATATAGTTATTTACATATATATTTAGGTATATGTATATCAAATTGTAGGTATATGTATTTTAATGTAATGTTTAGGTAATTGATATTGAACGTGATATCAATCTTGCTAAATCTGGAAAAGAGGATTTGATATATAAAACTCTTGTTGGTTTAAAATCAGACTTATCCAAACCTATTAACACTCCTGAAATTCTTAGTAAAGATTTAAAGAAAACAAATAACATGGAAGAGAAAGATGATTTATCTGGAGATATTGATGATTCTGAAAATGAAATTAGTGAAGAAGAAGATGTAATGGAAAACGAAATAAAATTTGTTAACTCGGCTCGACCTCGGCATGAGAGTCCAGACAGTAAAAAGGTAATACAATTGTCTTTTATAATATATTTACATGTGGTTATATGAAACATAATATATAATGATATATATTTGATTAAAGGCACGGAAAAAGGCAGTAAAAGAACAGCAAGCTGAAAAGAGAAAAACTAAAATAAAAAAACATATAAAAAAGAGGAAAGAAAAAGTCTTAAAAAAAAAATAATAGTTAAAGTATTACTGGAAAACATTTTAAGAAATTCAAAATACGAAGACATAACATGAAAGTAAACATTAATTTCTTACATATTTACCTTCAAAAATTAGAAAAAGATAATAAAAATATGTTTTCCTATTTACTAAAATTTAGTATACATACTGCATCCTTTGTAATATATTACCCTATTGTATAATGTATAAAGCATGATCATGTAAACAGGTCTGGACACTCATATATCGAAAGCATAAACGAAACCGTCCATCTTTTGAATCGAAAAAATTTAAGATGGAAGACAAGAAAGGTCTCATTCTGCGACGTGCAGAGATGAGTAGAGTAGCTTGGCCTTTATCTGAACATTCATAGTATCTATATGTGTATATGTATATATGTATATATTATATTATATATATATATATGTAGGAATGTATTATATATGTATTATATTATATATATGTAGGAATATGTATCACGCATGCGCAAAACGAGACCTTTTCTTGCTTTCCACTTGATTTTTTGACTCAAAAGATGGACAGTTTCGTCTATGCTTTCGATATATGAGTGTCCAGATCTGTTTATGTGATCGTGGATTGTATCATCATTACAGGAGTGAATCATTTAGCAAATATTTTAAAATAAAAAGTATAATGGAGAACTATTTTGGTATTAAAATTTTATTTTTATTGCATCTTATGATCTCAATGAATTATATTATTCATTTTGTTTCGCGAAATTAGTTAACGCAAAAATAATAAAGGAACGTGAAAAATTTCTCACAACCGGTTGTCCGAAGTTTGATACGTTACTTCAAGGCGGTATCACTACTCGCGGGATTACACAAATTTATGGAGCTGCAAGTACAGGAAAAACACAATTAGCTTTACAATTATGCCTGACAGTACAGTTACCTACAACAGAAGGTGGCTTTGCTGCTGGTATTTTACAAATTGAATTATTTATAAAATTACAAATGAATATTAGTATTTCCTTACTTTTCAATTCTTTTTCATACATTTCGTTTTAAGCACATCAAATAATTAATGTAGGTGCAGTATATATTTGTACTGAATGTACATTTCCCTCACGAAGATTACAGGAATTGATACAAAAACTGGAAATTACTAAAAAATATGGAATAAATGGTGACTCAGTATTTGTAGAACATATATCAACTATTGTAATTATAATATATTTTTTAACTTAATACATTAACTTTTTAATATAATATTTTTTTTTTTACCTTGTAGGAGGAACTGGAGATATGTTTGCTTCATAGAATTCCAATATTAATGTCTGTACAAAAGATAGGATTAATAATTATAGATTCAATTGCTGCTCCATATAGAGTAGAAGATTGGAAAGATGAATCTAATAAAAGAGGAAAAAGTTTGAGAACAATTGGACAACAGTTACATAAATTATGTAAAAATGACATTTGTGTAGTTTGCATTAATCAGGTAAAAAAAAATAAATTCTGTATGTAGTAATTAATAATTCAATAGCATAAATAGCTTACAGACAATTTATATACAGGTAACAGCAATTATGCATGGTAATATATCTAGTGATTATTCGAGTGTACGACCGTCTTTGGGAATAACTTGGTTAAGTATGATAACTAATTCCATACAGTTTTACAGAATGGGTACTATGAGATATGCTTGTGTTAAATTGTCATCAAATTTATCAGAAACAACTATTTCATTTGAAATACAAGGATATGGGGTAAAAGCAATAGATTGAATAAAACAAATTGAAATAAAAGTTTAATGTTTATTTGATTGCAAAAGATTATAAATATCATAAAATATATCTTCATCTAATATCCTAGCAATATTTGTTGGTGACCATTGATTTCTTGGATCAGAAGCTACAAATGGATCTGTACTTCTTACATCTAAATTTTCCATTTCATTGTTCAATATAAGTCTTCAAAAATGAGAAAGCAAATATAAATACATAAATAATCTTTATATGTATATTCATATGTATATGTTATGTATATAATACCTGAAGGAATGTAAAAATGTTCGATAAGGCTCTATATCTTTTCTCTCACTATATGTATAATCTCCAATCACAGTATGACCAATATATGAACAATGCACTCTTAATTGATGTCTTCTACCTGTACCAGGACATAATAGTACTTTAGTAGCTGGCTTTCCATTTCTGAAACCTCTTTCTAATACTATAAGAATTGTATATGATTCTTTTGGTTTCTCACAAAATAAGTTATCACTGGTACACATTTTATGGTTTCCCTTCTTTTCTCTAGCATCAATCCCTAATAAAATAATGTTATTGTTAATAAATAGCTTTTCACAAATTGATATTATTAATGTTTTGTTTCAATTACCAACCAATTGCTTTATCTATGATTAGGTAAGGTTCATTAATATGTCCATGAAGTAATGCCAGATAAAATTTTTTGGCTGTTCTTGCTTCGAATACATTAGAAGCAGCTCGAGCTGCTTTTTTATTTAATGCAATACATATCACACCACTTGTCACATAATCTAATCTATGTACAAAATGAAATTCATGAAATAAATTTGGATTGACTAATTTTGGTAAAATTTTTTTTAATTCAAATTGCAGTGTATCCTAAAAATTTTAATATTTATCAAACTAATAAGTATACTATTTCTAATTTAAAAATGTTCTTTCCATACCTTTTTTTCACGATTATTACTATTAATGCACATGTCGTATGGTTTAGAAACCACCAAGAAATTTTCGCTGTGATATAATATATTTACATTATTTTTATGTTTGATTTCAATAAAATATTTCGTATATAATTTTAACAATACTTTCAATATTCGCGTTAATTTGAGAATAAACATCCTACAATTGTATAATATTTTATTTATATTCATTTTATGCAATATTAATTTTTGTTTTTATAAGCAACAAAATATACATAACACCAATCGTTGAAAACTGTTACGTTATCAAAATGATAAACATTGGTTGGGTATTATATTCATGTATGTATGTGTATCTAGTTTCTTTCAGGTACAAGATTGCTTGTTATACTCCTGAAAGATGGCATTTTATGATTTTATATTGTTTAATCCTTCCTGTTGGCTGTCTGTTTTCCGTTTTGAATTTTGCTTATAACTTCGCACTGATTGCAATAAGTGATGCAACAATGATTTGTAATGTATAATCAGTGATTAATGTATATTAAATTCAGAGCACGAAAAATTTGGTTTTTGGAGATAATTTAAACAAGTATCATATTGTAATTATGTCTTGTAAATAATTACATATATTTTAAATAATTCCGGAACTATATCAGAGGGCACCACTTAACTTAGTATTTCTGAATTGGATGAGAGTCGTTTGGATAAGACCGTTTGAAAGCGATTTGTGGTATGAGAAAAAGTCTTATTGTGGAGTGCGTACTATATAACGGTATTTCTAATTTCATTATAATCGAATATTATCTGTTAATTTTTTTTAGCGATCATTAAGGGAAGTTTTGTACTATATTCTGAAAATGTTTCGATCGAAGAAGGATGTTGACCGACACGTGAAGAACATTTTTATCAAACTTAAAGATTCAGGAGAGGTGAGGTTATTTTTCAGAAGAAAACGTCGTTGTTCCAAAATATATTTGTCCAAATATATTTATTAATTTTTTATATTTAAGTACTCAATGATTTCTTAAAATTATCCTTTCTTTTATTTCAAATGCACTTTGTATGCATACTAACTCATAATATTTCTATCTAATGTCAAATTGTATAGCACTGAAGGCCTTGACTTGATTATGAAAAAGATACATACATGCACATGCACTAACCTCTATATGATGGTTTAACGGTTTTTTACGACTTGAAGCAAATTTTGATTTTATATGTCTTTAAAAAACATTTTTATACTTATTCAAATATTTTTTAAAGAATTCAGTTGTGTAAATATTTATTCACTCTAATATATTTGTTTTTGCCTTTTCTTTCTTTCTTTTCTTTTTTGATGTTTACAATATTTTGTAATTAGTAATTTTATTAGTTATAATGAAAATTTGCATTTTTAATATATTTTGTACATAATATCTGCATTTCTTTTTCAAGAAAAAGCTTCGATGTTATAATATTGCAAAATTATATTATCAAGTTGGAGACTATGAATCTGCAAAAAAATATGTTTCAAATTATTTGGAAATAAGAGACAAATCTGCAGGAGCTCATAAATTATTAGGTCAAGCTCTTGAAGCTTTGGGCCAGAAAGAAGCAGCCTTTGTAAGATATAAAATATCTCTTGAATTAGAACCAAAGCAGGATGATCTTCTCCTAAAAGGTATAGTTCAATATTTTGAATCTATTATTTCTTACTTTAAACTCACATATTAATAATATTTTTTAGTATGTGAGCTGTTGTCTGATATGGATATTAATACAGATATAAATAAGATAAAATATTGGGTAGAAAGAGCAGATAAGAAATTTCCACATCACGAAATAGTTTTTGAGCTAAAGGAAAAATTGTTAACTTCAAAAACACCAAGTGGTGATGATGATGATTTAGAAAAACTTATTATATGTACGTAATAAAATCTCTACTATATAATTACATGATTTTGTACAATTTAATTTAATTTGTTTATAATAATGTAATGCGTTTTTTTTTAGCTGAATTATCAGTAAAACAAACAGATGTGCATCTACAAGTGAAGTTGCTCAAGTATTATGTAGGAAATCATAGGCTTGAAGATGCATATAACAAAGCAACCGAGATAGAGGCAACGCAGTGTCACAGAAATAATATCATTTGGTATCAATCATTAACTGAATTACTTGTGAAGTGTAAAGAGAGTAAACAGTCAGATTGGACATTTTGGATATTTTATATTTCTGTGTTAGAAAGATATGCAGCACTTTGTCTTAAAGAACAGAGTAATGTTATTAGAAAAAGTATAACAGATATTACACAGGCAGTATTTAAGTAAGTATATTTGTACTAGGAGTCATATATTTTATTAGAAATATATATATATATATATAACTAATATTACTGAATTAAAATATTCATATTGCAGTTTTGATCAAAGTTTACATGAATGTAAATCAAAGAACTTCTCTAATCATCCTGTTTTTATTGAACACATGTTATTACACATGTGGGGTCAATTACATTTTCATTTAGCATGTTTAATTTTACGTAAAACTAAGGCTGGTGAAGATAGTTGGTCTGAAGCAGGTAGATTGTGTGGACCTCTTTTATTAACTGCATTACATGTAGCACCTATAGATCCTACTGCTGTATGGACTATGCATTTAAAAGATAGACTTAAGAATCTAGTACATGTTTGGTATAGAGAAGGATCATACAGATATAGCCAGGCAGGTCATGTACTTCAAGATTATGCCCGAGATAATACTAAGAAATTACTAGATAAAATCGATAAATTTTGTACAAGTTCATGGCGAGAACGGGTATATCAAAGAATCTTTATTGGTCGATTGTATCAAGATGGTAAAACAACATCATATTTCGTGAACTCTTCAGTTTCAAATCCACCATTACGTTTATGTTCATTTAATGAACTAAAAAGATTTGATGAAATATCCGAAGAAGTATGGCCAGATTCATTACACCATCAAGTTTGGCTTGGTTTAAGAGCTCGGCCCCACACCTCACAAAATAAAGACAATGGACCGCATCCAAATCAAACATCACGTGTTTTCTGTGAATTACAGTTTTCTGTTTATAACTTACACCAAGCAGCTCCTGAAAGTTTAAGTCGTCTCGATATTGATGCATTTTTAAATGCTGCTATCTGCACTTCTTCTGTACTTGAAGAACAGCAATTGAGTGGGCTTTTAAACCCTGAAAAATTACCTACATTGCCCGCAGATCTTACTAACACTCTCTGTACTAGTGTTCAAGAACAGTGGTGGTCTTATGCTTATAAAGTATATTCTATGGATAAACAAAAGCCATTGGACGAAGATGTTGGAGAATTGAGATTAGAATTACAAAGAGGCTTAGAAGTAGTACGTTGCCTTGGAAATCACGGATTGCATCCTGTTCTTTTAGTTCATTTAGCACGAATATTTCATTATAGAGCAGAGACATTGAAAGAAATAGATCAAGAAAATAATGACATACCATATTTAGAAGCACGATCTGAGATGTATTGGTCGGCTGCAATACCACTTCTCGAAAGATTACAAAATAATCAAGTTATTCGTATAACTAATTCTAAATTTTTTAACTATCAAGGAAAAGAAATGAATAATGTAGAAATAATTAAAGCTTTAGAAGAAGGTAAATTGCTTCTAGCTCAACGATTTGTACGCAGCAAACAATATGAAAAAGCAATAGATGCACTACAGGCTTTGAAATGTCCAGAAGCTTCAGTTCAACAGGGTCAAATGTATGAAAAGCTTGCAGATGAGATCATCAATTCTATACCCAAGGAAAGTTTAACGTCTGAAATGAGATCACAACATATAATCATGCTCTCAAAAGCAAGAGAATGTTTTTATCTAACATTAGATCGCTTGCGCAGTCCGGGTACAGATCCGAAACATCCTTTAAACTCATTACTTTCCACATATATTTCCAATGTTGAAAATAAATTGAAAAGGATTGATCCAGACCTATCACGAGGTGACTTAAGCAGAAATGAGTGCGATGGAATGTCGGATGAAAGTTATTCTTCTGCTCATAGTGCTGTTGATCAAACAGCTACAAAAATGTCAACATTAACGGGATTAAATGCTTCAATTAATATTCTGAGTACACCACAAAAAAACATACACCGTACACCAAAACAGTCTAGCACTCCTTGTAGGGCACAACATCAGGATATATTGGATTTATCTCGGAATCGCTCTGAGGCACGTCCGAGTCCTGAACGTCTTGACGCTCAAATTCGTTCACTAAATCAAATGATTCACGCAAAGGATAATAAGATACAATCGATAGCAGAGCAAAATAAAGCTATATTGGAATTGAACAAAACAGTAATGGAGAAAGTCGAAAAATTAGCAAAAGAAGTAACAGAATTACGAAAAGAATTTCAGAAACAACGTACTCAGATTAATGTTAATGTTAATCCGAATCTAGAAGAAGATTTGTGCATTTTGAACGAAGATGATTACAATGATTTAAATTACAACGCAAATCAATCAGGCCCCGCATCTTCGATATCTGGGAACATGTTTCAATCTTCTCATAGACATCCATATTCTCAGTTGGTATATCCTTCAGCTACTTTTCAAGGATATTATCCGGCAGGAATGTCATTTAATGACCCAAATGCACAAGCTATTCCTTCTTTATACCCTCCAAATGTTTATTCAATGCCGGTATTGTATCCTAATACGAGATCGAAAATGCCTGAAAACATTCTTCAACAAAGCTTATTTATGCCACCAACAAATCAATCATTGCAAATTCCACTGCAAAAAATAGAAACATCAAAACCAGAATCGATTATAAAAGACGCTCCTGTAAATAAAATTCCACCAGTTAATGTTGCTATTACCACTTCTGATACACTTCCAACTACAGCACCAATTGTTCAACCAACACTTAGTGTAACGATTCCTCCACATTTCAGACAAAGTAGTTCTTCTACTCCAGCTGCCACTGAACAATCTGCTCCACATTGTTATCAAATTTCTATGCCTTCCCAAGCTACTATACCAACAACAGTAAACTTACCACCCTTGTCAAATACTGTTACAACTACTCCAGCAAATCTTTCTGTATCAGAGACATCAAAGCAAGATACTATCTGTTCAACTGGATCTCCAAACAGTTCAGATCATGAACATGATCCAATTCCGGATTTTGTTCCTGTTATACCATTACCCGCAGAAGTTAAAGTTACTACTGGAGAAGAGGGTCAAGAGGTACTGTTTTGTGCAAGAGCTAAACTTTACCGTTTCGTGGATAATGAATGGAAAGAACGTGGTATAGGAAACGTCAAATTACTTAAGAATGAAGAAGGAAAAGTTCGTTTACTTATGCGCAGGGAACAAGTATTAAAAGTATGTGCAAATCATTATCTTGTGCCAGATATGGAGTTAACTGCTAAATCAAATAATGAAAAGGCATGGTTTTGGGTTGCACATGACTTTGCTGATGGAGAATTAAACCTAGAAAAGTTTTGTATCAGATTTAAGACTGTTGAAGAAGGTATTTCCTTTAAGGAACATTTTGATAAAGCTAAAGCAAGTCTTACATCTGAGAAAATAATTGAAAGTATTGATAAAACATCAACCAAAGCTAGTACTACATCGAGCAATATTAAAAAGTCGGAGAAAACAAAATCAGATGTAAAAGCTATAGAACGAACACCATTTGTTTCTGAACAAACTGTTCAAAAACAATCTATTGATGTGACAGAAACCATTACATCAGAGAAATTAAAAACTAATGTACCTACAACAGTTATTGGTGGATTTTCATTTACATCAACACCAATTATTCAAAAAACAACCACTACAGAATCTTCAAAAGTTCCTACTAAGTCAGAAGTTAGTCCATTTGCCGGTTTTACATTTAATAAGACTGTAACGAATGCTGAAAGTTTTGCAACTACGACACAAAAAAGCTCGACTACTGGAATAATAGCTGCATCACAGTTTACTTTCCCATTTACAAAAGCAACTACACCTTCTCAATTAGGGGCTACAACAGTACCAACTGTTAGTGTTCATAACTCGTCAATTTCATCTTCACAACCAATCAGTACTGTTGTTACTAGCGAAAATACTTCTGTTAATACTCCTCAATTTTCACTTAGAAGACCTTCTGCTCCTGCTCCTGCTCCTGCTCCTGCTCCTGCTCCTGCTTCTGCTCCTGCTTCTGCTCCTGCTCCTGCTCCTGCTCCTGCTCTTGCTCCTGCTTCTGCAAATTCTACTGTTCCAACCTTTGCTTTTGCGGGTATTCAAGATACAGGCAAGTCTCTTGTACAAACTGAATATGAAGAAATGCTATTCACTGAAAAGATTAGCCTTCAGTATTACAACAGTGATGCCAAACAGTGGGAAAACAGAGGTACTGGACAAATAAAGATTTTATGGAATCCAAAAACGAACAAAATTCGTTTATTAATGATAGATGAAAATAGTTTGAAAGTTTGTTATAATTATGATATTTTTGCAAAATGCCCATTTACACTAAAAAGTAATAGTAACACAATTGTCAATTGGAATATACAATATGGGTTAGACAACAAAACAGTAATGTTTGCAGCAACATTTAAAACATCCAGTCAAGCATCTCAATTTTATAGCATAATTACTAGCAATCAGCAAAAGATGGTAAACAATTGTATTACAGCAGAAAATTTAAAAAAGCCAGAAACTCTTCAAAATACACAAACAAACAAGATACAGACTTCCTTGTCTGAAATGTTTAAGCCACCAGCAGGATCATGGGAATGTAATGCTTGCTACACAAGAAATACTGAATCGAATGCAAAATGTATAGCTTGTGAAGAACCACGTTCTTCTGTGTCGAATAAATCAAATATCTCAAATACAGTTACATCAAGTCAAATACCTCTTTCACAAATGTTTAAACCACCTACTGGCTCGTGGAAATGTAAATGTTGCGATATTGTTAATGCAGCTGAAAGTAATTATTGTGTTGCCTGTGACACACCAAAAGATCTGTCTCTTCCACCTAAACCAAAAACTGATGGTTTTCAGATAAGTACAAGTTCCTCTGGAGCTACACCCACATTTACGTTTGGTATTCCACAAGATACTACTAAGAAAAGTACAAGTGGATTTTCATTTCGTTTACCTACCTCTAATGATGTTTTTATAGATTCTAAATCTACATCTTCAATAGTTACAAAATCTGATGATAAAACAGATACATCAAATGCAAAATTTGTTTTTGGAACACCAGGAAAATCGTTTGGGTTCAATTTTGTGTCTAAATCATCTCCAGCAAAGTCTGGTGAAGAAGAAAATAGTGAAGAGGAAGTGGTGGAAAGCGATGACATTCATTTTTCACCCATAATTCCATTACCAGATAAAATTGAAGTTAAAACAGGTGAAGAAGAAGAAGAAGTTCTTTATAGTCATAGAGCGAAGTTGTTTAGATACGATAAATCGGTAAATGAATGGAAAGAACGTGGTTTAGGTGACATAAAATTATTACGACACAAGGAAACGGGCAAATTGCGACTAGTAATGAGACGAGAGCAAATATTAAAGCTGTGTTTAAATCATTTCGTGCTTCCAAATTTGGAATTGAAGCCGAAAGATGAGAAAACATGGATGTGGAATGCTGCTGATTATAGCGAAGGAGAAATCGAACCCACTCTCTTTGCGTGTCGCTTTAAAACATCCGACATTGCTAACGATTTCAAAGATGTAATTGACAAATCAAGGATGGAGCTCCCACCCATTGAAAGAACTGCTGAAACGAAAGTAGAAGCATTTACCGAAGTTTCACCTACACGAGATATCGAGGTTCTGTACGAGTTGAAAGTAACACCTGAAGAAAAACAAGCTGCATTAAAGTTTCAACTTCCAGAAAACTTCTATGCGTACAAACAAAAGCCAGATTGTCCTGGATGTAGAGGCTGTAAAGAATATTCTGATGTATCGTTATTTTCAGATGGAAATTCTGGAAAAGCAGCATCTACATCAAAAACACCTGCAGAGGATCAAAAACCTCTGACTACTACATCTGGGATACAGTCACTTTCAAAATCTATTAATTTAAGTCCCGCATCTAACGAATTCACAACTGTTCAAACACCTGTTTCAAATACTGATACAACTGTTTCTTCCATTTTCAAGTCTGGATTGCATAGTACAACCACGTCACAATTTGCAACGAATTCTCTCTCTACAACAACTACATCAAGTATATCATTTGGGAATACTAATACGATCACATCAAGTGATAAGAAAACTGGTTTTTCATTTGTAATGCCCCAAACTATATCTACTACAAATGAGATACAAAAATCTACATCTGATACTTTAACACCTGAAAATTTAAAAATCTGTAGTCCCACTAATTCTCAAGGACAGGTATCATCGACTACATCTTTTTCATTTATGACATCGTCTACAACACCTACAACATCCATATTTGGAATGGCAAAATTAGATAATACAGGAAAGAATATTTTTGGTGGAATGTGGAAAAAAGATTCTTCTGGATTACTTAAGCCTACTTCCATTAGTGTCAGTACAAATAATTCTGAATCAATATTTTCAAATAATTTCAAAACTCAACCAAAAACAAATACAAATACTGCAATGACATCTGTATTTGGTGCTAGTACTTCTCTTTTCGGATCTTCTGCATTGAAAACTAGTTCTGAAAGCTCAACCACAGGTTCATTATCATTTGATACATCTGCTAAATCTACTAATTCAATATTTCCTAATACATCTACATCATTTTCGTCCAATTTATTCTCCGGCTCATGTACAACTACATCATCTTTTACAATTTCAAATCCTGTGACAACTAATGTTTTTGGAACATTAATACCAACAACAAGTGAAACACAAGAGGACAGTGATATTGCTTTCTTGCCAACGACAAATGTGTCATTTTCAGCTATAGCAGCTCAAAATCCCCAGATGGCATTCAAAAAAGGTACATCTTTCATATCATTATCCGTATGATAGCAATTTAAATTAGTAAGAACTGATAACATTATTATACAAATAATTTATTTCATAGATCCAAATTTTTCTTTTGTTGGTGCTGGGTCAGCTGTATTTAATTCGAAATCAAAATCTGCGCAAAAAGCAAAAGAAGTTACAAATAAAAAAGATGAAAATGAAGAAGAAGAATACGATCAAACCGAAAATGATCAAGATCATGATCCTCATTTTGAGCCTATTATACCTCTGCCTGATATTATCGAAGTACATACCGGAGAAGAAGAGGAAGAGAAAGGTATAATTTAAAATAACTGTTTGAAAAGATTAATGTATTTATCTTTAAATGATCACATGTTTGTTACAGTATTTTGCGAAAGAGCTAAATTATACAGATACGATAAGAACATGTGCGAGTGGAAAGAAAGGGGTGTTGGAGAAATGAAAATTTTACATCATCCAAAATATGACCGTTACAGATTGCTGTTACGACGAGATCAAGTTTACAAAGTAGTATGCAATCTCTTACTTACTCCAGACATTGTCTTTACTAAACTCACTACGAATGATCGCTCTTGGATATGGGCAGGCATGAATTATGCTGAAGAGCAACCATGTATAGAGCAATTAGCAGTTAAATTTAAAACTGTAGAACTGGCAAAAAATTTCAAGGATACAGTTGATAAAATCCAACAAACTCTAAGCGAAAGCCGTAAGGAATAAGATGAAAACCTCTTGTTTATAATGCTTTCCTTAGTTTATAATCCTTGCTTGTGATTGCATGTGTATTCATTGTATGTTATATGCATACTATAAAAAACATATATTTCTTCATTATTAAAAAATATTAATGTATCTTTATTTATATACATAAAATGTAATACTGTTTAAAAATATTATAATTTAATATCAAATATGCTATAAAGAGGCAATCATACAGAGATCGGTACGAAGACATGTTTTGTTACCTTTTAAAGGAACTGTCCAAAAAATGTTTTTTGATTAATATATTTGATTGTAAGTTTAATTGTGATACACAAATAATAATATTGATTCATCATATAGACATGTATAAAATTATTTTATTAAAACATATTTAATTCCATTCAACTTTTATTATTTGTAATGAAAGAAACAAAATACAAGACATGACAATAGAACTATTTTATATTATACTTCATAATGGATAAAGTTTTACTATTAAACAAATGTACTGTTATCATAAATTTTATCAATATCTATTGATTTTTTGTTAATTTTCTAGTAATTTTTAAATAACTGTCAATATTTATATTAAAAACTAACTTGTACAAATACATATTTTAGTTGCATAACGTTGAATAAAATGTAATTTACGATACAAAACGCAATTTAAATTATTTTCACCAATTAAAATAAAAGTTTTCCTCAATTTTAAATGTGTTCAATATTTATACATATCTACATATAAGGTGTACTTTTATAAGGTAACTTTATAGGATAGTAGCTTTTACACTAGCTTTTTGCTTGCACATAGTGTTCATATTATTTAATTAGAGTAGTTATTTCGATACAAATTTATGTTTTTTATATAAATACAGGAGAAAAAAATGTAGAAGATAGACCAGTAATAGAAGAACCAGAAGATGGTAAAAATGAAGAACTAGATGAAGAAGAAGGTGATGAAGGTGAAGTAGACGTTGAAGTAAATGAAGTAGAGGATGAAGAAGAAGAGGAAGATAATGATGATGATGATGATGATGAGGAGGAGGATGATGATGAGTATGATGATGAGTATGATGATGAGGATGATGATGAGGATGATGATGAGTATGATGATGAGGATGATGATGAGGAGGAGGAAGAGGAGGAGGAGGAGGATCAGAACTCCATTACTTTTGAAAAAAGTGCTTCTGTGTTTGCTAGAAATAAAAAAGGTGGTTGGAACTTTGTTGCATCAGGAAATTTAATTATTTATTATGATTCTAATATTTTTGGTGAAAAAATAATATTAAAGGCAGATGAGACAGATGAAGTTGTAAGCAACACAATTATTAGTATGACAACAAACATGAAGGTAAAAGCATTAAAATTATGTTATGTAACAATTTAACTGATTGTAAATTAACTAACTGTCAGTTATTATTTTATAAAGGTGAATGGTACACGATGCACTTGGACGGCAATTGATCATGCCTTGACACCGCCGACAAAACGCACTTTAAGTGCCACTTTTTCCTCAGTACATGTCGCACAGGAAATGTATAAACATTTTCAATAAGTAAGTAAAAATTTGTATGCAATATAAAAAGAAAATGATAAAAATTAATTATTGATTTCAACAGGGGGTAGAACACGCATTTCAAGCACACATCAGTGAACCATTCTATGAAGAATAAAATAAAATGATTCCTCATATTTCTTATAATAAAGTATTATATCTCTTGTAAACAAAAATCATTTAATTTTAGTTCAATTTCAATTTATAGGATAAGTAGTTCCCAATTTTATCCTTTTTTATGGGTGTAACTGTATAATAAATAATTGTACAAATTATCTAGGAGTTTATGAAAATAAGTAAATTTTCGTCAATTGTGATGCATTTCGCTCGTAAAAAAAGATACATGATAAATCAAAATTACTTGGTTAACAATTACGTATCTAACTGTAAGTTCAAATTTAACATGTGATATTTAAAGAACTTTACTGATATTTATAAAAATATTTATTACAATAAAAGTGCATGTATGTTCCAAGTGTTCATTCCTTTAATTAAGTAACCTCCTAAAAAATAAAATTCCATCTGTGTAACGGGCAACGAAATCGCTTGCGACGTTACTGCAACCAGTCGTATCTTCATGCGTTAATATATAAACTACTATATAATGAGTATGTTTATGTTTCAAACGTGTGGTAGTAGATAGCGGTACATATATAAGCAGTTGAACACTGTACAATACATTAGGAGTTGAATTTCTATTGTAGATTGTATTGTAATACAGAATATATTGTTACACAATGTCTGTTGCAACGAAAGGTATGTAATATTCAAAACATTTAGTATATAAAAATAAATATATCTAGAGATTTTAATAAAAAAATTGAATAAATATTTACATATTTTCTTAAATTCCTCATTTATAATTTTTCCAGCTTTCCTATTTATTTTTGTAATACTTTTGACTCAGCACAAAAATATATTATATTTGAAGTTTTATAATTACAAGATCTTTGAGATATATAAACGTTATATCTTTTATGCGGCAGGAAAATAAGAAAAAATGTCTTAATACAAAGTAAAATTGTAAATAAATAATTAATATTAAATATATATACAAAATATATTTAATAGTATTGAAAAAATGATGTCATATATATAATTTTAGAAGAATAAATGTTAGGTGTTTTGCGAATATGTTTTTCGACCTTTGGACTTAATGTTAAATATAACTAAATGACTGCTACTTTTATTATTCTAAAATGCGTTTGTATGTATTTATATTTACATTTTAAGTAATTAAAACTATCAAACAATTGTATATATATATATACGCACACAATATATATACAATATATTATATATATAATATATATATATATATAATATATAATACATAATATATATTATAATATATATATAATATATATATACATTTTTTTTCCTATAGGTATCTTTATTGTAGCTGCAAAACGTACCCCATTTGGTACAATGGGTGGTGTATTTTCCAATAAAAGCGCAACTGATCTATCAGTTGTTGCTGCCAAATCTGCTTTGCAATCTGCAAAGCTAAATCCTGATAAAATAGATAGTGTTGTTTTTGGGCATGTATTAGCTGTATGTAGTTAATCAATATTTACATATACCAGTTGATTGTTTTTATTAAATGTTCCATGCTCTTATAAGATTTATAATTATTATTTACAAGGTATCATCTGCTGATGGAGGATTTTTAGCACGTCATGTTGCATTGAAGTCTGGTATACCTTTAGAAAAACCAGCATTTTCTGTAAATAGATTATGTGGTTCTGGATTTCAGTCAATTGTTAATGGTGCACAGGTATAGATTCATGTATCACATAGTATATGTATATATTAAAAAAGTACTTGTAATAAAATTGTGCAAACATAAAAGGTAATTAATTATTATTTTCAGGATATTTTAACAGGGCAATCTAAGATAGTTTTAACAGGAGGAACAGACAATATGAGTCAAATTCCCTTTGTTGTAAGAAATGTTCGGTTTGGTACAACTCTAGGGCAAAAATATGAGTTTGAGGATGCTTTATGGCTTGGACTATTTGATACTTATTGCAATTTACCTATGGGTATAACTGCAGAAAAGCTTGGAGCTCAATATAACTTAAACAGACAAGAGGTAGATGAATTTGCTTTAAGAAGTCAGCAATTATGGAAAGCTGGTAAATGTCTTTTATATTGAACTCAATGCTGATTATTTAAAATATTAATATAAATGAATAAAGATACTGAAATCGAATTTCAATTATTTCAGCCAATGATGCTGGTCGTTTTAAGGAGGAACTTGCACCTGTTACAATCACTGTGAAAAAGCAAAATGTTGTCGTTAGTACTGATGAACATCCACGACCTCAAACAACTTCTCAAAGTTTAGCCGCATTACCTCCTGTTTTTCAGAAAGATGGTTTAGTTACAGCAGGATCTGCATCTGTATGTTAATTTGTGTCTTATTAAAGTTAATTGTAGATACATTAGAATTATATTTTATACTTTCTGGACATACATATAACTTTTCCACATAGGGTGTTTGCGATGGTGCAGGAGCAATTATTTTAGCTAGCGAAGAGGCTGTTAAGACAGAGCAACTTACACCATTAGCACGTTTGATAGGATACAGCATTGTAGGTGTAGAACCCAGTATTATGGGAATTGGTCCAGCTCCGGCTATCAAACAACTTCTTAAAGTTACTGATAAAAATTTGAATGATGTTGAACTTGTTGAGGTAAAAATATTAATAAAAATCTCATTTAAATGTAGATATCTAATCAAACATGTAATTATTTATATGTTTTGCTAGATTAATGAAGCATTTGGAGCTCAAACATTGGCATGTGCTAGAGAGTTAGATCTAGATATTAATAAATTAAATGTGGATGGTGGAGCTATTGCTCTTGGACATCCATTAGCTGCATCTGGTAGTAGAATTACTGCACATTTAATACATGAATTAAGGTGTGTTAATATTTAAAAAATAAGAAACTAATGAATATATAGAATGAATTAATGAGAATGATACATAATCACTTTTGCAGGAGACGAAAAAGTGGAAAATTAGGAATTGGTTCTGCTTGCATTGGTGGAGGTCAAGGAATAGCTGTGATGGTAGAAGCATTATAATCATATTACACATTATATAGTTATAAATGGTGATATGAAACACGGATTACGATTATCGAGACATATATATATATATTATAAAATGTATGTTTATGCATATATTTATTTTTTATATTTTATATACATTACAAAGTTATTGAAAGATCGTTGAATCTATATTTTTATACTAATATTGATCGCATGGTTAGAAGAATTTCATATTTAAAATTCTACCATGTTTACTAATGTCTGAATAAACATTTAAAATATTTTTCTATTGTAAATTTTTATAATTATTAATATATCTAGGTAGCTGTAGAAGTTCTTAACACGGTAAAAATAGAATACGACGTACGTAGAATCTAAAAGATCACATTAATGAATAAAAAAAATGAAATCATTATAGATATATATACATACTAGAACGAAATTTTGTAACGATAATTCCATAACATTTCCAACAATTAATATAAGAGGCCATTGTGCTCTTGCCATTATAATAAGTAAGGCATGTTTAAAATCCTTGCTATTATCCCACCAGTTATTTGCATAGGCAGATGAACATATTCTCATGCTCTGTAAATGTGATTTTTAACTAAAATTTTTATTATTAAATTTTTGATCACAATTACATACATGAAAATGTAGTTCATTTCCATGCCAGCAATATATGAAGATTTGGTATATCACGCAACACGTATATAGTAATGCGCCAAGAAATTCGGATGTAACGTAATCTTTCATCTGTAAATGTAACAAATACACAGTACATACTTACGACTGCGTAAACCGAACAAAGTTAATATGCAAGATTTACCTGTGATAAGTTGAATAATATAGCACAAATGACAATACAATCTACTAGAAGTTGTAAAAATATTAAAGTACCAAATACATCTTGGATTTGTTTTGAGAAACTGGAAATATTTAGTAATGTGCGTATATATTTGAGGAATAGATGTTGAAATTTGTATCTTTAATTGAGAAACTTACTCAAATATCATAATAGTATGTTCAATGCAATGTTTCAAATCCTCATACATTTTACTATAAACTTTTAAAGTAGAGTTTTCAATACTGACATTATCAATTAATAAAGTATATTTTTTTTCTATTATACAATGCATCGAAGAAATATTATAATTTAAGATTGTTAGTTGGCAACAAGCAGTCACTATAAAACCTGTTGCTAAAGTATCTATTGCTATATTGTTAATGCAACTTGTACAGACGACCATAAATTGATGCAAAGAAGTAAATTCAAAAACTGGAGTAGATGTTACATTATAAGGATACCATCCTACCATTGGTAATTGTTTAGATGTCCCACTGATTTGATATAATATCGGGGTACTTCCCCAAGAAATTACAGCAATGAAACCAAAAGTTTGAAAAGTGATTTGATGAAAAATTGCTTGCCAAGTATAATATGCCGTAATGTGTTCGTATTTATCGTTATCTCGATTAAACATTTCGCTGTTTGTTATATCTATAAGATCTTTGATACGTCTACGTCGGCAGATAATATAAATCACCTATTTACAAATGTAAAAAGTATCTAATAGAATAATATGTTTATTTATTCTATTTTTCTAAAAGAAAGAGAGAGAGAGAGAGAGAGAGAGAGAATAAAAGTAACGAGCAAAAATATTTGGTCAGTCATATTATTACACGATACAGTATCATAACGATTAAGATATACAAAAAGACATCTTACACCTTAAATTATACCTTTGTGGCGTACGTAGAATAAGTCATGAGAATACTTAAACTGGCCATCATTGCCTCTATATTTCCCCAATTTATAATTATGTATACGATATTGCTAGCTATAGTAATTCCAAGAAAAAATATTAAATTAAAAGTTGTGTATATATTATACAAATATTTATATTTGGCCCATTCCGGCCAGAATCCCAGATAGTAAATGATTGATAAACTAGTTCGCAAGTGTTTATTTGGGTGTATCTTTTTGAACTTGGTTTGTTTCTCCCCAAAAATATCCATTTTCTCAAACAAATTACTTATGTTGCAATTTCGTAGATTGAATTTACCTTTATATTGGGAATACTAACTTTGTATCAGTTTACCATTTGCCTCGTGGGTTTGTAACATTTACATCGTAGAATTCTAACATTTAATTAAAGAGTTCACAAGATTACAGGACTATTTCATGATGAATCGTAATTATATCGAGGAAGAGAACGCTTCCTACTATTTGTACTTAATTAAACGACATTCAAAAGGGATAGTTTCTTTGGGCTATAATCATGTTCGATTATAGAGAGTACATCACTTTTAATATTCATCGTTTATCGATTCAACGTATTCTGTAATCAAAGTACAGTATACCGTACTGTTCTTGTCTTCTTTACGGTCTTCCCTATTGAAGTTAAAGTGATTCTCTTCTCTCGGGTACTATAAATCCGAAGAAGTCGGTAATGCAGATAAAGCTGTTTTACTTGATACAGTTATCACATATAAAATAAGCATTATAGGAGAAACATAAAAAAAGCCAGAGACTATCAGATATGCATGTATGTAATTGTATATGAAAGGTTCCGTTTAAGTTTATCTGTACTTTCGAACCAAAGATAATGAGTCTTTCCATGATTCATTAGTGTTTTAAACGCAAATAGAGTATATGGAGTTTCGAAATTCCAAATACATTTCTAGTAAACCACTCAGTCAGTGTTCACGGTAACTCGGAGTAAGTTGCTCCAGTTGTTATAACGATTGATGACATTTACGAATATAATATTTGTGATTACTCAATAATTGTGTGAAATTTTAATATCGTTGCGAAAAAATGGCATCTATCGCGTTACTTAGCAAAGATGTGCCTGATATCGAAGTGAGTAATTAATATATCATGACATTGAAGATCTGTTAGGAACATTCTTAATCTAATTCTAAACGTTCCTTTCCAGAATCTTTTAAGCTTAAATCCGAAAATAAAACCATTTGCAAATTTTGTTCCTTCGGCGCATACTACAGAAAATAAGAAAATGTGGAAGAGAAATATTAATGAAAACTGCACTGTAAGATATATTACTGATTAAAAAATACGGACTAAGTCTTATTTGAACAAGATAGATACTCTTAAGTTAGATCATTTTTTTCTAGATTGTTATTATTTCATTATTTTATATATTTTTATATATTTTATATTTTATTATTTTATTATTTTACAGAAATGTGCAACTCTAACAAAAAATTTCGATGATATAAAGCACACCACATTAAGCGAACGTAGTGCATTAAAAGAAGCCGCGCGCTGTTTAAAATGTACAGACGCTCCCTGCCAAAAGTCATGTCCAACGCAACTGGATATTAAATCCTTTATAACTTCAATTTCAAACAAGAACTATTATGGTGCAGCAAAAGCGATTCTGTCCGATAATCCTCTCGGACTTACTTGCGGTATGGTTTGTCCGACAAGTGATTTGTGCGTGGGTGGATGTAATTTGCATGCATCTGAGGAAGGACCCATAAATATCGGTGGTCTTCAACAATTTGCAACAGATGTAAGGAGCCAAACAATTTTGATTGATGTTTTGTGCATTAAATACGTCATGACTCGTTAATCATTGTTCCTTAGATCTTCAAACAAATGAACATACCTCAAACTAGAATTCCTGGACAAACCGTTCTACATTCCGATACTAAAATCGCTTTGTTTGGCTGTGGACCAGCTTCTTTATCCTGTGCATCATTTCTTGCACGTTTGGGATATGATAATATTACAATATTCGAGAAAGAAAATTACATCGGTGGTTTAAGCTCGTCAGAGATTCCGCAATATCGATTACCGTATGATGTCGTTAATTTCGAGATAGATCTTATCAAAGATCTAGGTGTTAAGATTGAACTGGGTAAAGCGTTATCAGAGAATGATTTAACGATACAGGTATTTACGTGTAATACTATGACTATAATTGGTAAAAAGTACAACCAGCTTCAACTAACTTTTTGAAACTTTGTAGGGTCTTCAAAGTTCCGGGTATAAAGCAATCTTTTTAGGAATTGGTCTTCCGGAAGCAAAGACTGTTCCAATTTTCTCAAATCTTACAGAAGAGATGGGTTTTTTTACATCGAAGAGTTTTTTACCAAAAGTAGCGAAGGGTAGTAAACCGGGAATGTGCGCATGTAAAAGCAACGAACTACCTTCTCTTCATGGGAATGTTGTTGTTCTCGGCGCTGGAGATACAGCTTTCGATTGTGCTACTTCTGCGCTAAGATGTGGCGCAAAGAAAGTTTTCGTGGTTTTTAGAAAAGGATTCACTAACATTCGAGCCGTCCCTGAAGAAGTAATTATTGCCGTACAAAATAAAATATAGCTTTCTTCTTGTATTATTTTATAATTTAAGTTTTTCGATGTGATTAGTTCGATTTAGCAAGAGAAGAAAAATGCGAGTTCGTTCCTTTTCAATCACCGAAACGAGTAATTACTCGAAATGGAAAAATAGTTGCAATAGAATTCTGTCGAACCGAACAAGACGAGAATGACGAATGGATAGAAGATGAGGAACAAATTTGCAGATTAAAAACAAATTTTATTATATCTGCTTTTGGATCAGGATTGCAAGATTCGAATGGTAGTAATTTAAGTTGCATTAACATTTCCTTTTTTTTAAGAAGAAATATCTTTAAAGAATTGTACCTTTAAGTAACGCGAGCCATGGTACCCATTAAAATGAATAAATGGAACTTACCGGAAGTAGACACGGAAACCATGAGTACTTCTGTACCCGGAGTCTTCTGTGGTGGAGATCTCGCTGGTGTTGCTCATACTACCGTCGAATCTGTAAATGATGGAAAAATAGCTGCATGGTATATTCACAAATATATTCAGGTAATAATTTAAAAGATCGACGGAATAATTATCTGTTAAAATCATATATCTAAGTGGTTTAAACAATGTTTTATTTGCTGCCCGATAGAATTGCTATAATTCGGAAGTATCCGAAGTCCCTCAATTACCTAAGTTTCACACTCCAATCGATGACGTTGATATATCTGTCGAAATGTGCGGTTTAAAATTTGAAAATCCTTTTGGCCTTGCTTCTGCACCACCGACCACCTGTAGTACCATGATTAGGCGAGCTTTCGAGGCTGGATGGAGTTTCGTTGTCACGAAAACCTTTTCTTTGGATAAAGTAATTAAATCATTGTTAGATATTTTTTGAGAAAATTATTTTAAGGAAGCAATGTTTTAGGATCTTGTCACAAATGTGTCTCCACGAATAATTAAAGGTACAACTTCACGCTACCATTACGGTCCGGAACAAAGTAGCTTCTTGAATATTGAATTGATATCTGAAAAGTCAGAAGCTTACTGGTGTAAGAGCATTACAGAGCTAAAAAAAGATTTTCCATCTAAGGTTTAAAAAAACATACAATTATATAAGTTTTTATAAGATTTCTACATCACTCTTGCTGATGAAGATTCAAATTTATTTTTAGATTATTATTGCTAGTATTATGTGTACATACAATAGAGCAGATTGGACGGAACTTGCTCAGAAAGCTGAATCAGCCGGAGCTGATGCTCTAGAATTAAATTTATCTTGCCCCCATGGAATGGGAGAATCTGGAATGGGCTTAGCTTGTGGCCAAGTACATAATTTAAATAATTTATTATCATTTTATTATCAACCGTTATATAAACTTTCATATATTAGGATCCCGAATTGGTAAGAAATATTTCAAGATGGGTTCGGGAAGCTATAAAGATACCATTCTTCGTGAAATTAACACCAAACATTACCGACATCGTTTCGATAGCTAAGGCAGCTTACGAAGGTACTTTTTCGCATATAAATAATTAAAATATTTTAATGATAAATGTTCGAAGAAATAATCTTTTGTAATAGGTCATGCTGATGGAGTATCTGCCATAAATACGGTTCAAAGTTTAATGGGCTTGCACGCGGATGCAACACCATGGCCAGCTGTTGGCATTAAGAAGGCTACAACTTATGGAGGTATGTCAGGGAATGCAACTAGACCGCTAGCTCTAAGGGCAGTTTCTTCCATTTCGAAAAATCTTCCTGGATTTCCCATACTTGGTATCGGCGGAATTGATTCAGCGGATGTTGCTCTTCAGTTTTTACATTGTGGAGCATCTATTTTGCAGGTGAATCAGTTAGCCATGTTATCTTTCTATGAATTTTCTACATATAACGTCAATTATATTGGATTATTTTTAAATGACGCATAGGTTTGCAGTGCTGTACAGAATCAAGATTTTACTCTAATTGATGATTATGTGACTGGTTTAAAAGCCTTGCTGTATTTGAAAAGTTTAGAACAAGTAAAAAATTGGGATGGACAAAGCCCACCGACGTTTAAACATCAAAAAGGGAAACCAGTTGTATTACAACATGCTCTTGGCAAAGTAAGTGTAACTTTTGGCCAACTGACTGAATAAAATAAATACGTACTAAATAAAAATATGCTATAATATATTATAATTGCTTTGTGTTTCAGAATATACCATATTTTGGAGAATATCAAAGACTTAGAGAACAAAAAATAGCTGAGATTAAACTTAACTCGAATCCACTCGATAAATCTGTCGAAATAACGAGACCTGCTCCAAAACCTATTGCGCCTGTACCAACTATAAAAAATGTTATTGGTAAAGCTTTAAGTCATATCAGTACCTACAAGGACTTGAATAACAAAGAACAAGTGGTAGCGTTAATAGATGACGTAGGTCTTAATTGTTTTTTAATTATTTCAAGTTTTATTCATTTTTATCATTATATATTAAGGGTAAACAATTCTATGCGTTAGGATATGTGCATAAACTGTGGAAAGTGTTATATGGCTTGTGCTGATTCTGGTTATCAAGCAATCAGATTTGATTCTGAAACTCACATTCCATTAGTAACAGATGATTGTACAGGCTGTACACTTTGTCTTTCAGTGTGTCCTATTATTGATTGTATTACGTAAGTTAATTATTTATTAAGATAGAATTTTAGTTATGAAAAGCATATAATTGTTTAATTTATTTTTCAGTATGGTACCTAAAACAATACCTCATGTCATTAAAAGAGGAATACCACTGAAAGGAACACTTGAATTTGAACATTTCTAACTATAACAAGCATTTCATTAAGCGCTAATATTTGTTTCAGTGGTAACAAGTACATTCTACTCTTTAATATTTTCATCTAGTACAAAAATTAACTTAATATAGCAACAGCTTGCTACAAGTTACTTACACTATATTATTCAATTAACTAAAGATTATTAAAAATCTGGATTATCAAACCATTGCATTATTTGTGGCAGTGAGAAGTTGTAATTATATTCATCACATTTGTTATTTATCAATCGATGTCTAAAATTTAAGGATAACAAATCATATTAAAAATATTTTGTACAAACAATTGAAGGAACTATGAAATATATTACCTTGTGTATTTTTTACAGTCTACAATAGGATAATCTGCCTGAAAGCATTGGGGTCTTAAAACATTAAAATAGGTTTTTCCAATATTAGTAGCAAAAATGTTATGAGCTTCTTTAAGACATCGATAAAATGCTCTATCACATTCACATGATGACCTGTACATAGAATATGTTTTTTAGTCCCTTTCAATTAATCTAACGTAAAGTATTAATTACCTTGTGAATATACCATTGTTTAAAAGTCCTTCTCGTTTTTCCCCTGCTGAAATATTCTCCAAACAAAGATCATGTGTTTTACAACAAGCATCTGTATTATCAAAAAGTCCAAGGTCTTCTCCATTTGGAGATACATTACCATCACCACACCAGTATGTTCCTAAAATTTACATTATCAACTTATTTATATTAAAAAAAATATTAAATAATATTACATACCTGGAAATATTGCCTTAATTTTGGATTTGAATGAGTTAAAAACATCACCAATTGTTGATTTTTTCTGTGTATTTTCATTCTTGGGGAGCATATCAGATGCCAGTGCCTTTAAATAATTTTTAATACTCACAATTTTCTTATGGATCGCTTGTTCGGAGTTTATTAGTATTTGAATTGACTTTTCCATTGAAGTAATATATGTTTCTTTTAATGTTATTGAATTAGAATCAGATTCAAGGGCCAAAGTGACCGTGGTACATAATAAAAATATATAGATTGTAAAAATCATGATATTTCTACTCGTAGAACACGATTAGGAAATACGTGATGTAACAATTATCTTTCTATCATTTTATGTGACGTTCTTACTACGTAAACGGTAAAGTTTTCCTTAATTGTATTGAATTTTACAGAGATAGTAACGTATCAGCAATTAGATTTTGATTAAAAACGAACAGAAAGAAATGTTGCTGTTAAAAATTAATTTAGTAAAGAGTAACTTCAAGAAAAATATTACCTATCATTTTTTTGGACAACAGATTTTTTATCAAATGCTGTATCAACAATAATGTATAAAATAATTTTATCTGAATTGTTCGTTCGCTCGCGAATTATAATTAGTAATCCACTTATGAGAAAATAACAGATTTACTTAAAAATATCTATCTCCTATTATTTAAAATAGATGCTGAGATATCATATATATTATAGAATATATAGATACGAATTTTTAAACCCGTCTTTGTGACTATAGTGGATTGTATTATTGCCAAAGATGTCATTGGAACACTGCAATGGTAATTCCTGCAAGAGTGATTAGAAATTGGGACATGGAACCAAGATTTGTTTCTCGTGCCGCTGCACAGCTTTTAACACTTTTAGAAGAACGTTCTGTTTTGTTACTTGAAGAATTAAATCCGAAATTATTTACTTTAGTTCCAGATCTCTCTGTAGTGAAGGTAAATTAAATGATTATGACTTTGCATTAGAAAAGCAAAGAGTTTTATTAATTAAAAATAAATAATAAACAGAGGATGCGGGAGGAAATGCAGATGATGAAACATTACTTAGTTTTATGTCCAGAAGCTAATAAACAAGGATTACCATGGAAAATTGGAATACGCACTCATATGATAGAAAACTCGGGAAATTATTCGATTAAAGATCTCGTTGATCTTAATAATGGAGTACTTTTGGAAGAAATTCGTACTGTGTATGATACTATGCACACTCACATCACAGAACAGTGCGAATTATGCAAAGCGAGGTAAACTTCAATGATCGAAGATACTCTGTCTAAGTTATTTTATAACTAAGCCGCTAAATGTTAATGTACAGAGGTCATTTATGCGAATTGTGTGGTAATGATGAAATTATATACCCGTGGAATGCAAGTTCTATCACTTGTCGTCAGTGCTCGGCTGTTCATCATCGTGCATGTTGGTCGAAACAAAATCACTGTTGTTCACGATGTACAAGGCTTCAAAAGCGACGTGCTTTGCAAGATAAACAAACTCTGGACACAGATGATATTACGGAAAATGGATCGAATGCGAATGAATCGCTAAGTGATGCAACATAAACGCTAAATACAGTCGTGCTTATTGATATATATATATATATATATATATATATATATATATATATACACAAATCACAATAAGCACGACTGTATTTAGCGTTTATGTTGCATCACTTAGCGATTCATTCGCATTCGATCCATTTTCCGTAATATCATCTGTGTCCAGAGTTTGTTTATCTTGCAAAGCACGTCGCTTTTGAAGCCTTGTACATCGTGAACAACAGTGATTTTGTTTCGACCAACATGCACGATGATGAACAGCCGAGCACTGACGACAAGTGATAGAACTTGCATTCCACGGGTATATAATTTCATCATTACCACACAATTCGCATAAATGACCTCTGTACATTAACATTTAGCGGCTTAGTTATAAAATAACTTAGACAGAGTATCTTCGATCATTGAAGTTTACCTCGCTTTGCATAATTCGCACTGTTCTGTGATGTGAGTGTGCATAGTATCATACACAGTACGAATTTCTTCCAAAAGTACTCCATTATTAAGATCAACGAGATCTTTAATCGAATAATTTCCCGAGTTTTCTATCATATGAGTGCGTATTCCAATTTTCCATGGTAATCCTTGTTTATTAGCTTCTGGACATAAAACTAAGTAATGTTTCATCATCTGCATTTCCTCCCGCATCCTCTGTTTATTATTTATTTTTAATTAATAAAACTCTTTGCTTTTCTAATGCAAAGTCATAATCATTTAATTTACCTTCACTACAGAGAGATCTGGAACTAAAGTAAATAATTTCGGATTTAATTCTTCAAGTAACAAAACAGAACGTTCTTCTAAAAGTGTTAAAAGCTGTGCAGCGGCACGAGAAACAAATCTTGGTTCCATGTCCCAATTTCTAATCACTCTTGCAGGAATTACCATTGCAGTGTTCCAATGACATCTTTGGCAATAATACAATCCACTATAGTCACAAAGACGGGGTTCAATCCATGCTGATTCTATATTTACAAATAACGTATTTTAAAGGAAATATTAATACATAAAAAAAAATGTTTTCATTTGTAACCCATATTTGCAAAAATTTCCCTTATGTATGTTACCTGTATTTTTAAATGGACTGCCAAAACAAGATAAAGATAGTCCTTTTGAGAAAGCTTGTAATAAAAATATGGTTTATCTACATCACAACAATGTAGAATATCTCTTGTACATAGAAAGTTACTCTTTTCTAAAGTGAGTTTATTTCAATCTAATAATATACCACTTATAATGTGTTTATTAATGAATATACTTACTAAATGTTATTCGAACTTTGCATTCAGCACATCTGTATTTCTGACTTGATAAACCCTGTTCAGGACAAATATCTTTTGTGTAAGTATAACCACCAGCTTCACTAGCAACTACATGAACACACACTCTACATATATTATTTAGACATTTCCAATGGCAACAAAATTTGCAATCTATAATAATATTGTAAAAATTAAACATCATGGAAACCCACATTTAAAGACAATAAATTATATTTTAACAAGTCTTACCGCTACACATATACCATGATTGGAGCATGGTCCAAATAGCTCCACTACAATGATCACAATATACAGGCCCAGAAGTAGTTATATAATATTTTTGTGGTACTAAATGATGTCCTAAAATGACTTCTGTTTCAAGCAAATTTTCTTCTGATGTCTCTCTTAATTCTTGTACTCTTAAGCGTAATTCAATTAATCGTCTAACAAGCCATTTTCGCTCATCAGAACATTCTGCACTTTCTAAGACCATTTGCTTACATTTTTCTATCATATCTTTAAGATATTCTTCAGAAGTAGCCTAGAAGTGAAATATAATTAAACAAAACAAAGAATTATTACAATATCTGTTATATTATATTTATATAAATTATTTCATACCTTAGATAATGAAAGTACAGTTTCCACTGATTTTAAACTAAAAGGTATAGCAGCTTTACTGTCTGAACTATCATCTGCTTCTCCTGTCATATAATCAGACGACGAAGAAGGTGTTGATGCCACAGTATCAGAACTGTTAATTCTGGTTCTTGATTCATGATTAGACTCGTATGATTTATTTATATTATTTTTTATATCCACCATTTTCCATAGATACTGCAGTCAATTATAGGCTGGAAGTATTCTTGTAGCTACTTTTGTTGACTGTTATTAACCATTAAATAAATACTTTAAATATCATATATGCGTATAGCCGATAATAATATTCATTTGTTTGTTTATTTGTGAATGACAGAAATTTTTAGATATTGGCATATCATAATTACTAAAAGATAGTAATTTATAAATATGTTATAATAGGCACCTACTTAAAAGCATAAAATGTTAAATGAAGCTATAAATTACATACCTAGCTTTTCTTAAAACTTGTAAGTGTAATACTGGTAATACTTACTTGATATATCGTTCCATGTAAATTTCTGAACACCTTAAATTATGCGCACTTTAATATTTAACTAAATTTTTACTTTTATGATACAGCATTATTATGTTTTAACGTATATACATGCTACTTTCATGTTGTATGTAGTATAAATGGTACTTACATATAGGCATAACAAATTTGCGAACTACTGACATCTGTCAGCGCAAACGTCATATATTCGCTATTTATTATGAGAGTGTGTATTATGCTTTTATCAACTTAGAAAATGATTAGCGAAAAAAAGATTTTCGATCGAATAATCGTTTCTTGTGATGTAATCGTATCAATTGATCGTTAGTATATGAATGATAAAAAAAGAAGAGAATAAATTATACATTATAACCGTAATACAGATTATACGTTGCTTTTTATAAATTTTTACAATATCATATCATATTTAATGAAGATCATTTATGTTCCAAAAATGTAGGTATATTGATAAATGGAATAAATTATACATAAAAGATCAACGTTTAATTACATTTCTAAAGTTTACGTTTCTAACGTTTGCCTTAGATTAATGTCCGCCATGTCATCATGTATGATTTTATGTTTAATCGAAAGATAGGCTTTGAACGATTACAGTGAGCTTACGTCGATTAGAATAAAATCTACATTATAATATTTTTCATACTCCATATATCTTTTTACTTTAATTTGTTTGTCAATTAAGTGTTTATATACTTATAGTACTCCTACATTAAGTATGTATATAGTTTATACATACTTACTTTAAGTCGCAAGTATTTGATGCAGATACGCATATAACGTATCACACGACACATAAATATAAATTACATTATTGTCGTAAAATATAACAATTTTGTAAGTAACATAACGATTAATTTGTCTCTTAATTCTTATATTTAAAATTTGCACCGATGAGTTTCGCGCGTTTAATGCAAAGAACTGAATTCAGACATTTTCAATACGTTGATAGATGGCAGGAGTGCATTGCGATTTTTAAATCGATTCGCGGTTCTTCTGATCTCGGCGCGAAATTATGAAAAAAGGTTGTTCGGTCTCTTTGTCACAGAGAAGGATAGATATCGTTACTTTACGAAAGAGTAACAGCGAGAGCGAAAGAGTCCGTGGAACAAGGAAGAAATCGAGGCCCCGAATCTAAATAAATCGATCAGTAAATAGATCGAGCCTGCTTCCTACTGTTTTACGATTGGATAACAAGGGGAACAGGGGACGGGAGGTTGAGGAGAGAAGAGGCCGTGTATTTGTGGAGTTGAAGTCGGTAGCTACGATCGCCTTCTGGCAAACATTATCGTGACACCGTTTTGTGCGTGTTGAAGAGTTGGCCAGGTTCGTTCGATCGGTTCTTCCGCCGTATCGACCGGTCCGGTTGTTGGCCGCGCGCTTCCGATTCATGAATCCAGTGATATAGTAATTTTCCTCGGTGTGTATTCAGCGTGCATCGTGATACAACGATTCTTCAGTGATTACTCGCGCAACTTACTGGCAAGTAACCATGAATCATTCTGTAAATTCGCGCACTAACTAAACTATATTCGTTTCGGCCGGTGCGCGGCCACTTCCGTGTACATACTACGAATTCCTCTCGGTTGCCGCCGCGTTCCAAACGCTTTCCTTTTTATTTTTTCTTATTTTTTAATCGCCGAAAAGTAAATTTGGGAAAGTAGATTTAATTCGAAACGTCGTCGATACTCGGAAACCGATCGGGAATACTATAGAATTACCACAAGTCTTAAAAATATTAATCGTTTGTTTCCTGTCACTTTTTTATATCAGCGTTACGTAACGAGAATGAAATTTAGGAAAACTTTTGAATGCGAATTCTTTCTACCGTTGGTCCATATAAATCATTGTATGTCTCATTCAATGTGGTATCGTTTTCCTTAATTGATAACTTTGAGAATGTCAATGTCAAAATTCTTATTAATTCACGTAAATTATACTTTCTTAAACTTACTGTTCGTGATGGGAAGCTCTCTGCAGATTCTTCGAAATTTGAATGCGCATAATTTCGGGCAACTCGGACACCTAGTACGGTCCGTGAAACAACTGTACAAAATTCACTCTCACGTAATAATTAACTTGCACTCGTTTGCATTGTAATCGATTAAATCGGCACGGAAATCGGTTTAGACACTAATTTCTTCGAAGTTAATGACGTACTAGTTCAAGTGCCGCAGACTGTTTCGGTTTAATGTTATTGCGAAAACGTGAATTTCAGATGTAGAACGACATGGCTATCAGCATAAAATTCACAAAATTTGACAACACACCATGGGGATTTCGATTGGCGGGTGGAAGCGACTTTCCACAACCGCTGACTGTGATCAGAGTACGTACTTTATATTATATACCAGATATTATCTTTTTATTGCTTAAATATATTCATTCAAATGTATACAGACATATAGATAAGCAATAGCTTTTAGTTTAAATAGTCGATGAATAATTAACAAGAAACTGATACACGTGCATTTTACCTAGATTACTGCGCAATAAACGTTCGTGTAATCTAATGCACGAAAGTATAATAGGTTGCATACTTGCAGGAGTATTTCATGATACCGATGTTTTAGAAACATCGGTAAGGTAGAATAATTCTAAGATAGAATTGGTAGAAATACCTGCATTACCGACTCTGCGGTATTTCAAGTGAAAGTGCAACCGTAATTGTAAATATATGTACATACATGTTGCATATTGAAACGCATTGATAATTATTCTCGAATCGTATGATTCTAACGAGTTTCAATCTTTACATAAATTTTAGCGATACGTAAATCGAATAAAAATGGAAATCGATTTAGAAATATTTCTTAGGTGACAGAGGGAAGCCTGGCGGAATGTATGGGTTTGAAAGTCGGCGATGTTGTAGTGAGATTAAACGATCAACCCATCAGTAGCTTGACCCACGGTCAGGCACACGAGGAACTAATGCGAGCAGGGAATAATTTTGTTCTGGGTGTACAGAGGTAAGTACTTACCTAAAAGGGGTGCACAGAAGAGAATCCATCGACTCCTCGAAGAGAGTAGTTGGATTTCTACCGAAAGTAGATCTACTAGCTAGCCATGAAAACAATTCGATATCAATGTCAACGACACGCTGTATCGTTACACCGAATCGACCCGCTTGGAGGGCAAGCTTAACTTGAACTACTTTTAACTGCAACTTTATTTCGAGTACCTCGTGATTCACGACGAACATCCTTCGATGAACGCTACCGAAATTTACATTACACGGCAACTTATTAGACGAATTATCGGTAATATTTTAACGAAAAAGGAAAAAGATTGAGAAAGATGGGAAAAACGTATCGATGTCCCTGTATATATCGTACGCATTATTATAACGCGTCGCAGCAAGAATATCCCAGCGTACGGGCAACGTGTGGTAACGAGAATTGCAACACTTATAAATAGGTGACCCAGAATGAAATCTGTTTATCATTGGTTGGCGATTTTATTGCTGGCATTTACACCGCACACATTTGTTCCACGATCCCTCATTACCCTTTCGCGCGTGAACCGGCTCGCATTAAGCTTCAAAAAGCAGTTAAATTCGTTGCCCGTTCCAATTCCACTCACCTAGAAGATCGCTGTTCGCGGAACAGTGTACAGACCACGCGTGACAGATCGATCGAAACATTTCAATTCGAAACACTATTAATCAGGCACGACTGTGTTACGCAGAGAAGAAGATTCGCTGAAGGCTGTGGAGGCGTTGTCCGAAGAGAACATCGTGCCCTATAAGATTCCGGTACGTATCTTAGGACAATGTCCATAAATTCGACGTTGCTCGAATATTTTCTTCGATTGAAAATTCAAATTTTTTGCCTGTTCGATCGGCCTTCATAAACGCGTTCGTTAGCTCGCAGATTTGCCACCTGTTTTCCCAGAGCAAATACTGAAAGGGGAAACTGTGATCGAGCGGCACGAGGAAATAACGTGCGAAGTAAAGCCGGGCGAAGAGGAGGTGAAGCCAGAAGTGGAACCACTGCCGGACAAGCCTAAGGACGCCAACAGCGAGATCGTACCGAATCAGAATCTTACGGACGACGAGATCGCGCAATTGATCCTCGAAGAAGAGGAACTTTTGACCGACAAAGGCGTTTTGGGGTATACGTTCGGTTATTTTACTTGTCCTCCTTCTCCTATCGTTAAAAACGGATGATGAAGAATTATGTTATCGGCGAGTTTCTAATAACGTACGCATTTCAGGGTGAACTTTAAGAAACTCAAGCCCCGCGTCACTGCTCTGAAACAATCGAAGGTGATCGAAGAACTTCAGAATATCGCCACAGCCGAACCACCTTTGGTCGAACAGTTGAGACGTACCTCGGTGTTTCTGCAAAAACCGCAAAGACCGATACCGACGCCCCGTAAGAAACAGGAGGAACAAGAAGAGACAGAAGTCGAGTCGTACAAAGTGGTGATAAAGAAGCAGAAAAAGCGGAGCGTGACCGACCGACTACTAGAGAAGGGTCTGCTGAAACCTGAGGACGCAAGTACTCCGGAACCACCTACTCCCGAGGTAAACATGGAAAATATCGAAACGGAGACGAAAATCGAGGGAAACGATTCGTCGATCGTTTTGTCCATACCGCTCGATGATAGTTTATGCTCGCAACAAACGCTCGAACCAATCGTCGCGCGTTCCACGGTGTCGTCCTCTCCATGTCTCGAACTTCCGATCGAGATTTGCCAGAGTCGGCGGTCTTCTCTCGATATCGAACCTGAAACTCGTACGAACTTGGGATCGGATGTTACATGCCCGGTACAGTTATCGAAACGCAGAGAGAAGGCGTTAGCGTTAGCGCGACGCGCGCCGACGAAGTGCAAGTCGAAGAGCTTGTGTACGAGAGGACATTACTTCCGAAGGTGTTTGTTCGGAAAGAAAAGCCACGGTGACGTTAAGAAAGCGATTAAAGTAAGGCCTTCGTTCAGGGAACGGTTCCAGGAAAGCGACGCTGTGCGATCGAGCGGTCGCGGCATGGACCAGCTTCAACAACTTCCACGTCGCTGTAGCATCGAGAAATCTTCGAAATCCAGGATCAAAGGTCGTTACCTTGAGACGTACTTGAAACGAGAGGATAATTGGATGAGGCGAATGATCGACGGATTGTTCGAGAAGACCGATGGCTTTTCCTCCAGCAAATTATTCGATAGGCTGTTATCAAACAGAGGAATCTCTCTTATCAAATTGAGAAAAACTCGTTACGCGGAGAAAATACTTGTTCGAAGCGGAAACTTTGTCGCGGTTCGCCTTCCTTCCGACATTCTGAAATATTTCGAGCAAGGATATTCGACGGTCATCGGAAATTCTATAAAACCCAAGTCACAAATTGATAAACGTTTGTACTTCAAAGGTCATTACATTCGGCGCATTCTTTCGCGCAATCTTGTCCGTTTGATCAACTATGTCAAAGACGTAGCGTGTTCGAAGGATATTGACAGGAGAGACAGAAGGAGAAGCTCGACAACGATTAAAACGAAAGGTCGTTATTTAGAGACGTATCTGTTGGAAAACGTATTCTTCGATTTGCAGGATCTTCGCGATCGTTTCTCGGCACGCCCGACCGTTGTCTCGTCGTCGAGGAAGAAATTTTTCGCTCGAACTCGTTACGTCGAACGTATCCTTAAAAACCACTTGGACGCTCTTGGTTTAATCGTAAAATACATTGGCTGCCAGGTTGTCCGAGGTATTCCCGATTCTTCCGTCGTTATTCCAGGCTGTTCGTCCTTGAACTCGCGCCAAACCGACGCGCCCGTGTCGTCCATGAAAGAAGACGACGTCCTTTCCAATTTGATCCGTTCCTCCAAAGACTTTATCTCGGCCGAGGTTTTTCACCGTGGCAGTAGACGACTCTCAAGATCATCCAGAGGTAGCATATCTGCCGGCTCTTCCAACATCTCCGATACTTTCGGCAGCTATCTCTTTAATTGGCTTCCTACGAAGTTGACCAGAGAATCGGTCGATCGAACGATTAACGATAAAAAGATGATGCAGGATAACGATCGTGACGGTCGTAGGCTATCTTTCGTGCCCACTATTCTTTACGAGGGTCTAACGAATCGTATAGACGTGGATTTCACTAGATTAGTGGCATATGCGTTTGTCCCTTGTACCTCGATCATTTTGCTGTACATGTACAAGTAATATTCGTATCGAGTAAACAGTCTAATCAACGTCTATTTAGATAAGGTGATTCGAGACGGTACTATTAATGATTACGATTATGTTTAGATTTAAAACGACATCACTTGTTCTAGGACATCCCTAACAGACGCTAGATCATCATGGACCATCTGTAAACGTATAAAAAAAATGAAAAAGTGTTCGTCGTTCGTAAAAGTGTGTGTTGTATCTTCTGTCCAATGTAACCGTAACCTTTCTCTCGTAACTAGAGATAGCCAATTATACTTGTTTCCAGGGCCGTGCAGCAGCCGGACAACGAGAATTTATCCATCGAAAAAAAAGAAACACATAAACTAAACTTGTCTTTCGCGGGAAAAATTGTGAAAGTAGTTTGTCCGTTAAACGTTACATATTTTATTTAACCAGCTGACGAAAGAGACGTGGCATACGTTTAAGGTAATGCATGGTAAAATGCACGGTCCTGCAAGTATACGTAACGTAGTATGTACTTAAAGAAGTTCAGTGATCGCGCTCGCACGTCGATCCATTGATATCTAGTCTAACGAGTGTACAGAAATCTCGCGTTATCATGCACGCGCAGATCGATGCATGTAATATCTACGTATAATTACCTCAATGTCAATGTACTCACGATGGATTGTCGAGAGAAAAGTACATTCGAAATAAAATGCGTATATCTGGATGCTAAACCCAATGCTAAAATTCTCGATAATAATTCCCTTAATATCGAAATGAAGCAATTAGGACGCTGCGTTTCGCCCGGGATCACGATTCTCCCCAAAATCCCATTCTGTTTTCCAGAAACGATGACGAATGGATCGCGGGTGCATACGTAACTCGAGATTGAACGACGCGATTGAAAGAACCGATTCGCTCGTTAAGCGATAACAGGTAAATTAGCGTAACAACGCGACGCAGGTGGTAAAAGCGTTCCGTATGCACTTCGATCCGGTGTCTTTGCACGACAGACCGGACGAACGTTCACCGTTCACCATCCACGAGCCCTGTATACTCTGTACATAGTTTGTTGTCTGAATTCAGGCGACACCATCGGCCACTCCAGAGCCAAGCGGCTGTAGATCGGATCAAGAACGCGAGCTCGAGTCGCGTCCCGAATCGAAAGCCGAGTCGAAAGCCGAATCGAAGCCGGAGGAAAGCGAAACCGAGCAGCAACCGGAAGAAACGATAGCGTGCGACGAGGGGAACGCCGAGGTCGCGAGCGTTCACGAGGAGGAAACGCAGCAGGAGCGAACGACACAGGGATCTATTCTGAGCGAGATCGAGAAAGAGATGGCGAACGTGGCAGCGAAAGTCGATAAAGAGAAGATCAAGGAGCTTGTCAGTACGGAGATTAACCTGGAGAAACAGCTGGAGAACGTTCAACGACAGTTATTGGCGTTGAAGCAGCTACCGAGCGAGATCGAGAGTCACCTGAGAATCGTGTCGGAGCAACTGCAGAAGATCATGGAGCTGAGCGGCGTGCAAAACGGCGCCACTGACAACGACGAGGGGCGACGAGGTATGCTCGCTCTCTAAGATTACATTTTCGAGCGAATAAGCCTCGATCGGTATCTCGTGCCAGCCTACGCACACGCATATTTTCAAATTTTACGCGTTCGCGACTTTTGAAGAGCTGCCAAGCGTCAACTACGTCCGGCCTAACCGACGTTTCGTTGCGAAACCGACCAGACTGCCTTCGATTCGATTTGCCAGCCATTCGCGTTCCTTCCTCGCATAACTCGAAACTCTTTCGGCATAGTTATCGCTCTAGAGTTGTCCGATGAAACGATGGGCTCGTTCGTTTGATTTTTCAGAAGCGCAAGAAGACGCGGAGGAGGCGAAAGAATCGGAAGAACGGGACGAGGAACACGAGGAACTGGAGGAAACGGAGGAGCACGATGTGACCGAGTACACCGAAGATATTTCGTACTCGGCCTATTCCGACGAACACGTGCAAATCGTTCGTGCCAGCGAGGAAGACGACGAAGAGACGGAGACGCAGGAACTGGAAGGAACTCTGTCCGTAAAGAGCGAAGAAGGAAGCAGAGTGAAGAAATTTGTCGTTTCTTACGAGACGAAGGTTTTGAAATCGCCGAGCCCTGCACCTTCTTCTCATGGTAAATATTTAAACAAACTCGTCGTCGCATCGATCGATAAAACGATCTTTACAAACCACTATCGTGAAAGAAAGATAACGGAAACAAGGCGATGTGTATTATAGGCAGTTTCGAACCAGATCCAAATCTATCGGCAAAAGATCAAGTTATTCAGGAGTTGCAGGTATTCTAGAGAATGATACGGAATGTAGATTGAATGTGCAGTAACTCTTGTTCTTACACTGTGTCATCTAGCATATTCCAGCATCCTGTACTTTATCTTAATCGCATCGATGTATTGGAGAATTTCGTCGTTCTTCGACAAATATCAAAGAATGCATCTCTCTTTTTTGAGTTATCCTAGAAAAAAAAAAAGAAACAAAAAAGAAAAAAGAACACGAACCTAAAAATTTAATAACTTAACGTGAGAAACACTAATTTGTTTCCCTAATTGTATCCTTACACTTCGTGAAGATGAAGTTATCTGTGCCACGTACATTCCATCGAACGTCTGAACGGGAAGCACGCGGATTCCTTCGTAACCCCGTGTCAAAAGCATTCCTGGATCGTGAAGAAACGATTAATTTAAATAGCTATGGATCGTGGAATGATGTTTTTCGTACGTTTGCAGCAGAGAGTAAAGCAACGAGGGAGAAAACGTTCGCAAGATCTCTGGCCCCAGGCTAAGCAGGTCGAACTTACGCGCGGCCGCAGATGGAGGTGTCCGAATGATTTCTTCAATGACGAAATGATTGCCGAGGTTTTATCTTCCCAGGCGGAAGTGATTCGAGGCAGAGCTCTAGGGTAAGCTTAACTTTTTATCAATTTCGCGTGAATTTGCATTCCTACGATAATGATTTAATAACGCAATGCGGTTGCTTCGTGCATTTACGCGCGTACGTCTGAAAGTATGTGGTTTCGTTTCACCGAGAGTTACAGCAAGAAGAACGACGATGCAGGTTACGTGATTAATTATCTTGGTGGAACTATTAGTAATCTTTGTGATTTATGAACGCAGAGTGAACTTCAAAAAGTACGAGAAAACGAATCTACCGAACTACGATCACTTAATGAACTCGAGCGTCTATAAGATGATTCATAAGATGGAGCGAGAACCGAAACGAGGAATTCCAGCTAGACCTGCCAAAGTAAACGCCGCGGAAGACATAATCGAGAGGGTCGTACGTATCCGATAAGATCTAAAGAATTTTTCCGGTCGTTAAAGAAAGAAAAGAAAAATATTCGAGGGCCGATCTCAAAGCGGTGCTGCGTGTCTTTTTATTTCAGAAGTCTCCAGCATTGAGCATCGCGGATGACAGGAGCACTCGAAGCGTCAGTCACTGAACCCACGAGACATCGACGATGAAAGAATAGAATTCTTTCTTGCGCCATGAAGATATCGAATAAATAGCGATCGGACGCAACTAACCGACGTACGGCCGAACGATACTTAAGAAACGACGAAGGAAAAAGAGGAAAAAGATAGGAATACGTGCGCTGCGATCGAAAGTATCAAATATAAAACATAAGGTTAATTATTAAGTACGTGTGCGTGTCGTATATACATGTTATACGGATTGAGCGTTAATAAAAGGATTGATTCTTTTTCGTAAAACGTCATTTCAACGAATACCATCCTTCCGTCTATCTTTCTTCCACGAGTGTCGGTATTTTAGTACCTCGACGCGTAAAGTAGGTTGTCGAAACACGATAATCAGCCTCGTCATAAAAAATTCACGGAATCGCGCAAGAAGACGTCGCAGTCGGAGGCAAAGTTTCTCATCGAAGCGATGATTCGATCGTTCCATTTCGACGCAGTAATCCGAATGATTGGCGCGCTTTACGCAAGATCCTTTCGCGCAATAGGATATCCGAGGACACGAGTTGGCTCGACTCGCGGATGAGTCGCGCATACTTTCACCTTTCCGGAGTTTCCGACTCTGTTCCGAACCGTGTCCCGCATGCGTACAGGGGGCTGAGTCACTTCTGCCGTGGCCAACGAACGTTCTTTCTCCTCTCTCTTTCTCTGTCCTACGCGGTAGTCGTCTCATGCTTAGGGTCCGAGAACGTGACGTCGGTCCCGAGCAATTTATGTAAAGCATTCTAGGCATGATTCACGAACTAGTTCGCGCCCTCGTGACCGCCACCGGCGCAGAAAATGCAGCCACTCTCGACAGCACGAAAATCTAGGCTCATCCGGTCGCGCAGCCGAATGCATTTCAGATTCTGCTTCGTGCTGTGACTTTGAGCCACGATTATGAGATAACGTTCCTCGGCCGAACCAACCGTCCACCTATCCTTGATATTCGCGTATATCTTGTCATATTTTCATCGGCAACTTTAGCTTCATCCTAATTCCACTCGAACCTGTCATTCTCGAATTGTCGTGTGTTTTTTTTAAGTTTTTCTCCAAGTTTTCGTAAAGTATTCCTTTCAGAATATCTTTCCTCTCCATCGATGATCCGAGTTAAACGCTGTCCGAGTGGAAGTACGAGTATCTCACATCTAGTTGGGACCGGAAGAGACCCGGCAATCGGCTAATGGACAATTTTTCAGAAGAAATATCGTCGCAACAGTCGGTATCGATGCTCGATCCTTCAATATAGAATCTTGCTATGTCGTGGTTTTCAAATTACAAGCGATAAAAGTTTCGTTCGATATCGTATAGAAAGAGCGAGACGGTAGTGTGTGATTGCAGTGCAGGCTAATCGGTCGATCGCGTTGTTCGAAGTACAATCGAGAATAAATTATCGCAGAGAGAAGTACATGGGCGGACAGTGTGGCGAGCAAGGTGCTTCTCTTCATGGTCGAAGCATTGGGAGCAATGACAGAAGATGGAGCGGTAGGAATCGGCGCTGCGGGGGAAAGAAAGGTACAATGGAGGAAAAAAGAAGAAACGAAACGTCGGGAATGCCATCCTGATACCACCACCACAACCGCGTATCCTTCTTTATCCTTGTCTGCTTTTCGTCTCTTCTCTTTTACTTCCTTCCCCGGTACCCCTCCCTTTCGCATTTCGGTTCTAGCTCATTCATTCTTATCTTTCCTTCCTTTCTCCATTTTCTTTCTTTACGACGGTTCCTCCTCGTTCGCGAAAGAGGTCATTTCCGTACCTTCTTCCACTCCGCTGGCTACCCTATCAACCCCTGTTTCCGGCTCCGCAAACCTCTGTTCCTCTCTTCTCCTCGTTATCGTTCTTCGTCGCGACCATCTCCGTTCTTGTAAATC